CGCTATAGACATAATACCGCCCTTCGTAGAAGCCGCCTCTTTCTTACTTATTACTAGTTTACTATCCTTATCGATACGGTAATCCCTAAGGAGGTAGTAGAGCGGCCCTTAATTACTATTTAGAACTAGTAGAGTTTGCCTCTTGCCCTTACGCTCGTAGCGGTAGTAGTAATATACACTTACGCCCTCTACGTCCTTAACAAACTACTCTCCGTACTACTATATAGTGCTCCTACGCTTCCTTAGGTCCTTATTGTTAGCGGCGGTAAGCTAGCGGAGGTAGCGCTTCCCTCGGATAGTTACGTAGTTCGGTAGGTTTAGTTTGCTATAGCCCTTACTTAATAGATTAAGGATGACCTTATTAGTAACTCCCTTACTAAGGATTAGCTAGCTACCGAATGGCATTAAATTGACGATGAATTAATAGTATAGATGAACTTACTTAAGACGACCGGATTATTAAGGATACGGACCTCCGGAGGTAATGTAGCTAATCGGAGCCCTATCCGGTTAGTTACCGGTAACTAACAACCCTTATACTAACTCCTACTAACAGCGCTTTAATTGCTAACCATACCAACCGGTAACCTAACCACTAATAACCACTTACTAAGCTAACCACACTAACAAGCACACTGGGTTGTCTTTCCGAAAGAGGCACCATCCCACTACAAGGCCGCCTTCTCGAAGCGTTGTTATCGTGCAATGGATGTTGACGACCTACTCAAGCAAGGCGTTCCATTCCATAAGGCCTGGGAGAGAAGCTTCTTTGACATTGGGCGTGCGTTCTCTGAGCGCATAATCGAAGCTGTGGATGATCTTACACTATTCGTCACACATATTGGTCAAGTTGGACTTTGTTGCTGCGAGCATACATGCATGCAGCCGGACGATGAGATTGCGCTCGTTGCTGGCTCGACTTATCCAATCGTTATTCGTCGAATTCCTGGAGAGGAAGGATTCTACAAATTCATTGGCCTTACGAGAGTGTACGGTATTATGAATGGGGAGATGTGGCCTGAAGAGACAGTTGTCGATACGCTATCCAATATTATTCTCGTGTAAGCTAAGCTTTCTTGATCGTTCTGGCTATACACCTCCTAGTGGGAGTCTCAAAGATCGCGTTTATACCAACATCCCGACACACACTCATTGGGAATTATCGGCAGGCTGTTGCACAACTTCAATCCTCCGAGACTACGGAAATTCTCGCGGAAAGCATGCTCGAAGACAACGAAATAGCGCGGAAGACGCCAGAGCTGAAGCACATTCGAGTGAGAGTAGATGCGAGTGGAACAGATGGAGGCTTGGACAGGATGGAACTTGCAAGCCGGAAGAGCAGGAAGTGAAAGTTCTAGAGTTACCCGAACGATAATGGCTACAGCGAGACTGACTTTGACGTCAAGTGCAGCTGTCCAAAACTAGAGCGGAGAGTGTACACGAGTCAAGATTGAAAGGATGGTATATGGCCGTGGTTCCATGCTGTACGTGCCGGATAAGAGTGCTCCTCGTAGACTGTGATTGTGTTGCGGTGGTGGTCTTTGACAATTCGACATTATTGACCGACTGTTAACAAGTTCAGGAATCTCAAAGCCTTCTTTTAACCGCTGTTAGCCTCAGTACGACATGGCTTGGTGTATGCTGGCCAGATACACACTCTGATCTCAAGCGCCTTCTAGGGTATCCACCCGTTCAAACAATGTCCAGCCCAGATTGGCGGCGACTTGGCGAGGAGTTGGTCCAACACTTTCATTGTATCTTTGGCACGCTTTGTCCGGATCAGCACCAAGTTCAACGAGCGCAAGCGCGACAGACATTCTGTCTTTTACGCATGCGTAGTATAACGGCGTGCCACGCAAAAAAGGGGCTCTAAGTCGGTAAGACTTCGGGTCTTGGTATAAGATCTCATCGATGGGTTTGTCGTAGAGGTGTAGAAGTCTAATCATAGTTACAGACTCGTCGGGGTCCGTACGTTGCGTAGCGTAGTAGACAAGATGGCCGTTGCGACTCTGGTGAGCATGTTCCAACAGCAGATGTACTATCTGGAAATCAAATCTGCTTACGGCAATGGATAGTGGTGTGCAGTCGATATCAGTGGTGGCGTTTGGATCTGCTCCCATTTCGAGTAGCCAGTGAGTAAGTGAAGCATCGTGGAGAGCAGCACTATCGTCTGTTAGGTAAATTCCATGCATTTGAGGGGTTCATATACCTTAGTACAGGCGGCTGGGTGTTACTCAGAGCTTGATTGACATCCCAGCCAAGCGTAAAGAGGACTTTGAGGCAAAATGTCGCTTTTTCAAAAGGCAGAGTAGCGGCTTCCTTGACGGCCGTGCCGATCACGGGCACTCCATACTGCAGCATAGGGTCCGAGAGGGCTTTGAGAAGGTCGAGTTTACCCAAAAGAATGATGGTAGAGAGTAGATACGACAAAGCGCGCCGAGCTTTTTTTGCCTGCTCTGCTGGACCGCGGAGGTTGTAAATCACCCTTTGTACCACTTCTTCGGGGCTGTCGAACTGAATCGATTCGAAGAGAACATGGTAGAGTGTTGGAGGACCGAGGATGGCGTTCATCGCTGAATCATGAAGTGGTAGATGAAGGTGTGGTATACGGCAAGCTGAGTAACTGTAGATGTCTCAATTCTTGCCCCTCCTCGATTGTCGCAACCCCGCTTATCAATTTCTGGGCACAAGGAGACGTTGGGAATCGGGCTCCTGGCTCTTGACTCCTGAATTCTAGCCCCTGAAAGAAATACCCCAAGAAGTCGCGCGGTTAGTCAGCGATCAATATTGCCACGCAAGCGACGCTGTTGACCAAGTTGAGTGAGTGTTGGAAACTTCGCCTTGCACTATAATCTTCGCTCGATTCCATCAGTCGAGTTATCCAAAGCTAATGTGGTGGCCGCGAAGTAACTTCATAGATGCAGGTCAATCTACTGTGGGAAGCAGGCCTATGGAAATTTATGTACTTCAAGTCGACAGTTATCCTTAGCTATGAAAAAGCCGTGTGCCCTTAGAGGATCAAATCTTTAAGGATGCGATCCTTCAAAGGATTCCCACACATGCATGAAGCAAGCTCAACCTGCTTTTATGTCACCATGCCGTTTGCTTCATATTTCCGACAACTCTTGCTGCGATTACTTGACTCGTCTGGGCTTGAAATACTCGCTGTATCTCTATAACCTACTCCCCTGTACGGCAAGTCTCCAAATATGGGTGCCAAAGCCTCGAGACCAAAGCCTGGAGCTCGTCTTCAAGTCATCGGCGCAGGTTAGTGGACATTCACAGTTGACGACTCATGTTCTAACAACATCAGGTCTCCCAAGAACAGGCACAGCATCGTTCGCCGCTGCCTTGTCACTACTATTTGACGGGCCAGTATATCACGGCGGAACGCAAACCTTAGTGAATACGGACGACACTCAGGTGAAAGCCTGGATCGATATCCTCGCGCACACACCATACAAGACACCCGCCGATCGAGAATACGTGATGGGAAAGCTCCAGACTTTGACACAAGGCTTCATCGCAACTGCAGATGCACCACTGGGTCAGTTTGTTGAAGAATTGATGGAAATTTATCCAGATGCACAGGTCGTATGCACTGTTCGAGATCGCGATGCGTGAGTTTTTCTTACCTCGAATGTAAACTTGAGTGATCGACTTGCTTACCCTGCTGTGATAGCTGGGCCAAGAGTTTGGACGAGACTGCCAAACCGTCCTTGCAGCCCTTCCTGGGCCTCTTAGTTTACTGGGTTCCGGTTCTCACGCACTTTCCAAAGTATATCCAGCATCTTCAAGCTGGTCGATGGGGGGAATTGTACTCGCAGCCCGGTGAAAAGTGGTCGGTTGGAAAGGATGTTTGGGATAGACATATGGCATATTTGGAAAGAACTGTTCCAAAAGATAAAATAGTCTACTTTGACGTGCGAGAGGGCTGGCAACCTTTGTACAAGGCTTTGAATGTGCAAGTGCCAGTGGATGTCGAGTTCCCCAGGATCAATGATGGAAAGGCTATGGAAGATTTTGCGAAGACGCAAGTGCAGAGAGGTTTGAAGCACTGGGTAGTCCGGCTGTTGGGTTGTGCAACTGCAGTGGCAGTCATATGGCAATACTTCAAAGTGTAGCAGGCTGCAACATCTTTGCCAGAGTGTCGATACGTATCCATCAGGGACTTCTCGTTCCGGATGGAACCAGTCATGAGTGATACCATCTCATTCTTGTGCCATCTCTCATCTTCCAAACAGACATCACTAATCTTAAAACTCTCCTACAAGTAGAACGACACCGCTCTTTTGCCTGTCCATTTCCACAAGAGTGCAGACGAAACGTTCTGTTCACCCAATCGCGCAAGCGAAATCTTCGAAATGTCCAACGAACCCGATACCAGACCCGAATTCTCTCGCATCGGTGAACTGTTCCAGATAATCGAGAATCTCAAACAAATGATTGCCGTGATTCAGAGCCAAATGGACATCGTTCATGCCCAGCTCCATACTCAATACTCGCAACTCGATCCCGACACTCAAAGAATCGAACAGCTGGTGAGACTTTTGTACGACAAGCTCACTGCTAAAGAAGAGCTGGAATTGCATATAATCCATAGAGAGGATGAGATCGAACGTGTCCGGCATGCGATGCGGTAGGTTCGGGAAGCGGAGAGCTGTGAATGGTGGTGTTTGCTGGTGTGTGGCGACGAGGGTGGGAAGATGGAGCTGATTACAGAATCAACTTGCCTTCAGTCTCATCCAAGGCCTGTGACAAGTGGGTCGACCTTGTCAGCACGCAAAGCACTGCCCAGGTTCATATCATGGACAGTCTGCTGCGCTTCCTCTGGATCCATCGATACAAATGCATGGTTATAACTCTGCCTCGCAGCCTTCCATAGTACCTGTAAAGGCAGATCATGTTCATGATAGTGCCGTGCATCCCAAAAATTGTTGACTAATTGCTGCAATCGTACGCGCATGTACCCGTAGTACTCATCCGTAAGGCCATTCCTTGTCATCGACGCGACATGACCAACGTAGTCAGGATCGATGGCCCAGACCCATGCTTGATCAGCAAAGGGCGAGTTTCCCATGATGGAATCCATCGCGTCCTGGTCAATGACTAGGAACACGTTTTGGAGGAGTCCGCTGTGAATGCCGTTACGATCGACATTCGAGGACTCGTGGGCGTTGATTCGCTTCTTTGCGTAATCGCGGACCCATTTGAAATGAGCACGGAGTTTGGGTAGCTCTCTTACCATGTCGATGTCGGCGTCGTCCGCCTCGTTCTCGTCCTCTTCGTCTTCGTCTTCTGTATCTCGGTCCACGTATGGTTCAGTGTAATCTTGCGCATGATCTTTCATTTCTTCCGCAGCTACGATACCGCCACCGTCCCCTCTACCAACCACCGATGCATGTCCGTGTCCACTTTTATCCTCCTCTTCTTCCTCTTCCGGCCAATCCAGACATTCCCACTGGAAATGTGGACAGTCCTCATAACTGCTACCAAACACAGCGCCTCTGGCAGTGTCTATCAGTAGGTCTATCCTGCACATGCAATTCTCCATCTCTTCGTGGTCAACCTCTGGGTCCTCGAAGATTGCGTAACCCCATGGTCTCCCGTCCTGATACTCTTCCACAAATTGGCGAACCCAAGGTCGAGCCTTGACATGTCCAAGATCCCGCTTGAGTGGTTGTTTGCTCGCCTGCTCCATGCCGGAAGTACATCTTGAGGCGTGGAGTCATGTACGGGTTGGGGTGACCTGATCTGGCACAGGAGGTGTTCATCCGAGATCGGATGTTCCGGATCTCGGAAAATCGTTTAGCCGGCCCGTCGATCACTCCTTCGTTCACCAAGGTGCCCTCGCCTTGCCGGAAAGTCTAACTTATCCATCGTCTGTCAACCTCATGCCTCTGCACGAACTTTCTGCCGAGCTTCTTCACGCAATCTGTGAAGTCTGTTCAAACGATACATTACAAGATCTCCGGCTCACGTGTCGAAGGTTGCGAGAGGTAGCTGATAAGCACTTCCTCCTCGAAGTTGTGACATGTATCGAACATGGAGATCTGGCCAATGTGCGCAGAATCGTTGACTGCGATGTTTCTATCCGGAATGCAGTCAAACGCTTCACTATCCAGGCGGATCGCTTCAATACAGACGTTGAAGATGACCCTCYCTTCCAACGGGACTGGTTCGACAAACAGAATTTCTTCCTCCGCACGCTCGGCCCGCATCTGTCAAAGATGGAAGAACAATCGCAAGGTCGACGCAGCACTCGACACAGGGCCAGACGCTCCGAAGCGTTGTTGTATTTCGTGTCACAATCTGTTGCCCGAAAAAAAGACAAGGAGCTGAGAAAGCGGAATTATCGAATGTACAGACGGATGTGCGACGACCAGGAAGCGCTATTCCAACCACTCAATGGAACGCCAAGTGGACCTGCTCAGCTCAGTACAGCATCAGCTAAACCTAGCACCATCAGAGCCACATTTGACAAGCTTTTCAAGGCGTGTCCCAACATATCAGCCCTAACGATCAACCATAAACATACTCTGCGCATGAACGCCGGACTTTCAAATTTGACCTACCTCAAAGGTCTCACGATCCCGCATGGAGGTAATGCGACTATAGTGGAGAGGACAGTGGGGGAACTACTGCCAGCAGTCTTCAATGCCAACCTGAAGATCCGAGATCTAGCCATTGCGGGAGCAACTCCACATGTAATGTCTGTTGGAGCACCCAGGACAGCCTCTCGTCATCGCACAGCAGATGGCAGCGCCAAGTACCATCAAGTCTTACATCATGTTGAAAGACTGCAATTGATCTTCAACGGTTCCGACGCGCAGCCTGAAGATTACGAACTCGGCGCCAGGAACGGGTTCAACTTCATAATTGACGAGTTTGCTGATGGCGTCTTGATCAGTTGGTTGGAGCACTGTCGAGTCGTCCGAGAAGTACGTTTAGTGTTGCCAATAGCACCGTACGTGAAGTGGAGAGTTGAAATGAAGCACATTATGGGGGAATTGCATCTTGAGAAGCTCGCCGTACTAAAAGTTTCAAACTTCCAGGCAAAGTCTGAAGACGTCATACAGTGTTTGCTACGACATCAAGACACCCTTCAAGAGTTCGAGTTGGATACTGTACACTTATTAGATGGTGACTGGCCTTGTTGTATCTCTGCCTTTGCCGGGAAGCTGCCACATCTGCGACGCGCGAGAGTGGGTGGACTGCTTACCAGTGAACTCAAGGATGAGAATGATAGGGGGATGACAACATGCTTTCTTACCATATCACAGGCAAAGGAGCTTCAAGATGAGATTGAAGAATATATTCTGGACGGTGAAGGGCCAATGCCGACTTGGCCGGCTGAAGGGCTATATGATGGTAGTAGTACGGAGGAAGATGAAGACGAAGTTGGTTCGGAGAGACTTGCAGGAAGCAGCGATGATGATGAAGAATCGGACGACTTAAATGATGAAAGTAACGATGGAGACGACTTAGACACGGAGGATAATTGGATGGATGAGGAGGAGAGCATGGACGAGGACAGTGTTCATAGCTTAGACTCGGATACGATCAACGATTCCGCTTAGGACCAACAATGATCTACATCAGAAGCCAACATTCCTGCCAATAGGCGAGGTCATCTCAAGGGGATGGGACCTATTACCGTGAGAGCAGAGCATCTCCTTAGAAGAGAAGATCTAGAGGCTTGTCGTCGATTCTGTTTCAAAAAATGACAGTGTGCTTAACAGAGCGTTCTCGCGAGCAACTAGGGTCTACTCTACTGTACATCAATGGCGATGACTCTCTACATCAGCTCTGGCAGACGCCAGTCGACTATTGGAGCAAAAGTCAGAGCCAGAGAAAAAGAGTCCAATGATGGACATTATGGCATTGGTGATGTTTACCTAGAGCTGCAATCTGTGACGCTCAGTTGCATCTATGGGAGGGAGAAAGCAGGAGGGATTAGACTATTGCTTCTCGATCTGTACGCAAACTACGACAGTCAAAATGTTGATGTTGATAAGAGGAGGCTATCGTGTTGAATTCTTGGTCAGATCCAGATTGAATAAAAGGGGGAAGACATGCTTAACAGTCGATTAGTGGATTTATACACATCCTGTAGATAGACCTGCCGTATGAACCATCGCCTCTGGAAGACATCCATCCCATGGAACCCTGCCGTCTTCGCAAAACCATGAATATTCTCAAGCCAGCAGCAACCCCTCGTAGACAAGAGGTACGTTCCATAGCAAACCGATGCCCTCCTTTCTAGGACCTTCTTCCTCGTCGTCCCCTTGCAGCCAGCGCTTTCAAGACACAGAGATGAGATTGCTGCTATTCATCTTTTTAGCAAACAGTCTGCTCCTTCTACTTAATCTCCTCAACTCATTTCTAACCAACATCCAGAAATCGACATCTCAAATCGACAACCTCATCCCAAAGATGAGCAAGCCTTGGCAAAGATACAAACAGAACCGCAAATTGAAAACGAACGAAACAACACTAGTGTCCGACAATCGACCTCAAACCATCATCGATGAAGCCGAGGCCGACTTTCTCAAACGCCTCAAGATTGTTCTCGAGGTGGTTTTGAAAGCACCGGATGAACTTGACGGCCAGATAATTGGAGATTTGATCGACGCGTATCGAGTGTGGATACCCAATGGAACGCAATCCAAGTGGAATAGGGTGATGAAGGCTAAGATTCTGAAGATTGAAAAGAGCGATACTGAGAACTATAAGCTGTTTCACGCTATTCGCAGGGCTGGAGTGGAGTTCATACGCAAGGAGGGAGCGGTCAATAATACGGGGGGAACAGCTGACGCGGAGGGAGCAGTTGATGAGGAGGGCCTAGATGATGAGGATGATGCAGTGACGGCATGAAATACATTACATCTCACCTGGAGTTGTCTATCGATTGGCGGAATTGGTCGAGGCTGTAGCCGTGGTAGTGATACGGTACGAAACGATATTCCGACACTCCTACCGCCATCTCATCACCTCATGTCATGAATTCCCCGAACTCCAAGTAGAGCACTTTTCATGACAACTCCCAGCCAAGACAAGTCAAAAAAAGAAGAATATGATGATCTGACAGCAAATACATATTCAGATTCCCAGCTATCAAACTACCCCATCACTCCCCGCCTCAGCACCCCTTTTCCTCCTCTCCTTAAAAAATACTCCCCCCAGTCCACCCAACCGTCAACAGCGCCGTAAAAAAACTCACACACCCCAAAATCAGCGTCGCAGTTCCCCACCCCTCAGCCTCCCTCACCAACCCAGCCAAAAGCGGCCCAATCATACTGCCCGCCGCCCAAGCCATATTAAACAAACCATAAGCCTGTGCATACGCCCCATTCCTACCGAAGAACCCCGGGGGAGATTTCTGGGATTTGGATTCGACTGCATAGGCTATTTCGGCCATGATGGGGATTATAGCCAGAGTTAGACCGGCGCCGATGAGAGTGAGGAAGACGCAGAGCAGGATTTTGTGGGTAAGGGAGTTGTTGGTTATGAGGCGAAGGAGGATGAGAAAGGGGCAGGCGAGGAGGAATCCCCCCGTTGCGAGCCAGCGTGGGCCGTATTTGTCTGAGAGTTTGCCGATGTAGGGGCCGAGAAAGGAGGCTGCTACTAAGGGGAGGAAAATTAGACCTGCGCCCGTGGAGGTCCAGTTGAAGGTGTCGTGGACGAAGAGGGGGAGAATGGAGTCGAAGGAGGTTAGGAGCGAGGCTTGCATTGTGCAGGCCCAGAGAGCTGCTAGGATGCGGCGGGATGCGAAAAGGGAGATTACAGGTGGGAGGGAGGAGATGAATTTTTGCAGGGGTGTATGGCGGAGAGCAGAAGATTCCTCGGTTGGCGTTGCGGTGGCTGATGGGATAGGGGTGTTGCTAGTGTTGGTGTGGGCCTCCGCGGTGGATTCCTTGTTGATCATATCGTCCTTGGTAATGGCATCGCCATCTTGGTGATTCGCTTTCTTCTCCTGCCCGCCATCCTCAACAACATCAACATCAACAACATCAACAACGCCAACCCCCTCATCTTCCCCCAACCACCTCCTCGCATTCCTCGGCTCAATCATCGCCAACCTCAACACAACATCCACAAAAATCAACCCAAAAACCATGGCATAAACAGCATAATACCCCGCCATCTGAAAAACCACACCCCCCAACAACGGCGCCAACAAAACCGCCAAACTCATCGCCAACCCCACATAACCCATCGCCACACCAATCCCCTCGTCGGCGCCCACGACATCCACTAACAACGCCAGTCCCGTACACCAAACCMCCGCAGCAGAAATACCCTGCAACACCCYCCCCGCCGCAAAAATAGCAACACTACTCCCTACACACAACAGCGCCGTACTAGCCCCCAAAGCCACCAAACCCGCCAAAAAGGGAATTTGTCGAGACTCGTTCCGATCCGCTACCCAGCCGAAGATGGGGGAGGAAATGAGTAATGCGGCGCCGTAGACGGCTAGGAAGATGGAAATCCAACGCTGTACGTCCTCGGGCGCGATGTTTGCTCGTTGGGTTAGGGCGAAGGGGAAGACGGGGACGACGATGCCGTAGGCGAAGATGTCGGTGAATACGGCCGAGGAGACGGTGAGGGTTATGAAGAGGCGGGAACTGCGCATGTGGAGGAATCGAGGGGGTGAGGTGGGGGAGCCGAAGAGCCAGGTGAACATGTTGTCTTCTTTTTATCTTTCTTTTTTGGGGGGGACTTTTTGCAATGTTGGATATGGCGAAGTATTGGAAAAGATGGAGGACAAAGAATGTATAAGGCTCATTCAGTCTTGCTAAATCATTTCCGCACTTTGCCGGTAGAAAGTGCTCTCTTACCCGATGTACACGGAGATGTATATATACATGTAGTAATGAAATGAGTAAAAGATGGACGACAAGGAAATGATGCAGAGTTGAGCGGTAAACAATGCATCATCGTGATATTTAGACTTTGATGGATCGAATCGAATCGTTCTTGGCGCCCGATTCGGGATTGTATACCCGTAATGGTCTTGAGCTTATCAATATATACAACGAAGCAAAATCTATAATGTATATCCATGTGCACATCTTCTCGTCCCTTGTCCATACAACCAATATGTGACGTGACACCCACCATCATTCCCCATCAATCATCATCTCTCACAAATACTTCCCTGATGATCATTCTCTTCCCATCCACCTAAGCAAAAGCCGGAAAGCCAGTCGAAAAGATACTGAACCTCTGATCCGCMCCACAAATCTGCGAGGCATCTCCCGGACAAGGGAATCGACACACACTATCGACCGTCAACACGGCACTGGCGCCCGCCAGAGCATTTCCACACCAGCATTCCCCCCCGTTCTTCACACCAGCAATCGTGAATCCTCCATTCGCACAGCCCGTCGTGCAAGAGTCAATGGTGTTGCTCGGATCGTTGTACAGTAGGGTTGGAAGGGCTTGTACGGTTGTCGGTGCCTGATCGGTCCAGCATCCTTGGTAAGACATGCCATTGGCGTAGACCTTGGCATTCACCACCGGAGGCGTATTGACAAGGACTGGGTCGGGAAAGGGATCATCTCCAGATTGCAGACGTGGGTAGCCGAAATCGTAGGCACGACCATGTTCGCCGTAAAAGTTGTCGGTGAAAATTCGAGCTTGACCGGCGGGAGAGTTGTACATTTGTCCATTGTCGTGGGAGACGTTGATCAAGTCGACCGTGTCGCAGTTGTAGCCTGCCGGGTCGTCGCAGGTTGGAGTAAAGCTTTTGATGTAGAAGAAGAAGCGCTCGTGGCGGTCCAGACCGGTGGTGTTGGCGCCGCAGTCGCTGGAATGATCGCCACGGTCGAGCAGGGCACGAGCGTAGGCGATTTGCTTGCTGCGATAGTTGGCCTGGATGGCTGCACGACCTTGATTGACAATCGAGACGCCATATGTCATGTCCCCACCGGCATAAGCTTCGAAATTATTGTAGCCTGAGCGGTAGTCATCGTAGTCGGGACAGTTTGCGTTGGAAAGAGGGCGGAAAGGATCCAACCAGGCGTAGCTATCGGGATTGCCAATCCAGTGGGTGATGGGAACGCGAGTTTCTTGATAGGGACTGACAGCAGCATAGCGTTGGACCATCTGACCGCCCATGGAATGCCCGGCGATGACAATCTGGTTGAGGTTGGGGAAGAGAGTGGCGTCGTCAAAGTACTTGACCAAGGTATCCAGGACGAAGAAGGATGAAGTGTTGCGACTTGAATGTGGGTAGGCATTGTTGGCACCCGCAGACCACTGGGAGCCGGACCATACGAGAGCATTGCTCGTCGAACCGCGACCCGCTCGGAGGCCTTCGGTCCACGGGTAGGCCAGTCCCTTGTCATTGCCATTGGGGAAGTAAGGAGCGAGAATGGCGACCGAGTCCGGAGAGATTCCCGCATCTTTGGCCTGTGCAACTTTCAGAGCATTGATCATCTGAGATGTCCCGTCAGTTTTGATATCATCATCATGATCATTGACAATACGACATGACTGACATCATTCTCGTAGTTCCACGGATCTCGCAAAAGACCATGCGGGACGATAATGGCGCGCTGAATGTCACTCTCGATGATTCGGGAGCCATCGCTTCGGTGGGAATAGTAGTTGATGAGGGTCAGATTGTTATTCTGTCCGCTGGGATCCGGGATGCGGAAAAAGGCCACTTCGGCCCCGACAATGGTGGGCAGGAAGGCGCTGATGATATCTCCCGCGTATTGTTGTGCCTTGGTGAAGGAAAGAGGAAGGGCCGCGAGGGCGAGCAGGGAAGATGACCTCATGGTGAAGAAGAAGAAGAAGAAGAAGAAAAGAAATCAACGAGTGTCGTGGCACATTGTCGGCCGAATGAGAGAGAGGTATGGTATGAAATGGGAAGGTGGATGTCAGGATGAGGTGTAAAGTGCGAATTGGAGATGCGGTAGTTGGCGATCTTCCCGCCCGCCCGCCCGTATTCGTCTTCATTCGTGTCGGGAGGGGGGGGAGGAGGGTCATTCGCCCAATTTCCATCCTTTTAGTTCTGCAGGGATCAGGATTGGGAAAATGGACGACGCCGATATCTAATCAGCTGCCACGCCACCACCATCCATCCACACTACTTACTTACCAACATACCATCTCCAAGATCTTGGAATTCCTCGGCTTCTGCAAGCCACGCAAGCCCTCATTTTCAATCAAATCTCGTGCGACGATGTTGTGCTCGCACATCAAACCCGCCGACACATGACATGTTATCCCCGACCCGCCATTTCGGGCAAAGAGCAATGATCCAATCTTGTTGCGCAATCGCTAGCTGTACAGACATTGACAGCCAGCCATAGCCAAGAAAATAACAACGGGATCAGGAGCAGGAATAGAGAGCAAGGAAAAGAGAATATACCTTATGGTAACCCACAGCACCAGCCACACTCCTCTCCCCGGAAAACAAGACAATCTATCTATTCTACATGCACCTTTGATTACATCCCCGCCAGGCCCACCAACCCACCACCTAGTTACCCGTCCGACACACCACACCAAACCCTCTCTCAATCTCCTCCCCTCTCCAAGACCAATCTCATCTGCAGCCAACACAAAAGTATCACAAACAATAAACCAAACGTCACATAAACCTACAAGCCAGTCAGCAGCCAGCCAGCCTCACCTCAGCCTTGGAATTGAGGGAATTGATTGGCATGACATGGCACGGCATACCATAGCATTGTAAGAGATACACTACCTTACCTTACCTTACCTAGCAGCTATTCCATCTCCAAGGTATGCACGCTGTATTTATTGTCCGGACAGGTAAGTTTCTCGAGGAATTCAACCTATCATTATCATAATGTAGGTAGGTGAGATTGGATGATGAAGTTGATTAGACTTTTCCACGTTCCATTCATCCTCCCGTCACTTCAGTTACGCCTCGGCAGATCCTTCTCCCTGCACACACACACACACACACACACACATGTCCTGCGATGAAGAGGATGGTACGTTCAGGGCGACATTTCAAGACTTGGGGTAAATATACAAGCCATCTTGACCATTCTACATCAAGGAGCAAAAGTACAATACAGCAGTATCAAGTCCGAAACAATGCTGTGCTCTATGACATGGTAACCACTGCCTCCTCTCCATCACACACCTCTTTCTTATACACACACACAGGTTCTCTCCTCTCCTCATCTCATCTCTCTTTCTCTCCTGCCCCCTACGACATCAACCGAGTCATATCATTCCTCACACGTGCGTAATCCAACATGCCCTCGATCTTTCCAACAGCACTAATGGCAACATCACGGTCCCAAATCTTGCGCTGTGCGAAGCTCATGACATCGGCCGCTGTGATGGCGCCCACGACGCGCTCCACCTCCTCCGGGTCCAATCTCCGGCCCGTGGTGATGATCTGCCGGCCGATATCCTCGGCCACGGAAGTGGTGCCGTCGAGGCTCAAAAGGATGGAAGCCTTCAGCTGCTGCTTGGCGCGCTCCGTCTCGGCCTCGGAGACCTGGAAGGACAGACGTGACCACTCGCGGAGGGTGAAGTGGACCAAATCGTCAATGCGGGTGATGGCGTCAGTCACCATGTAGATTCCCCACAGACCCGTGTCCGAGTACGAGGTGGAAAAGGACATGAAGCTGTTGGCGAGCTTGTTGTCGTGGATAAAAGTGGAGAGCTTGGAGCCAAGGTAGGGAGAGTTACCCATGCTGCGGTCCCAGTTTCCGACAATGGCCTGGGTGACGAGTGCGGTGAAGTAATCGTCATCCTTCCATGACACACCCTCCACGGCGATGGCGATGTTGGCCGTGCTCATGGTGTCGTCACGGATACGGACCTCCGAACCGACAAAGTCAGGTTTCGCACTATCCACCCCACGAAGGGAGGCGTTGGACTGTGCGTTGGGGTTGTACGCGGGGATGCTGCCAAAGTACTTTTCCGCGAGATCGACGAGCTGGGAGTGAGGGACCTAGAAATATCCTGATTAGCACGATTCTTCGCCTGTCTGCATTGTCCATCACTCACACCACCCGCGCCAACCAGTACMATACGGTCGGCGGTGTAGTTGGTCTTGATGTAGTTCTCCAAATCGGTGCGCTGGATGGATTGAATGTTCTCCTTTGGTCCGAGAATGGTACGTCCCAGCGCCTGGTTCTGGAAAGCAGTGGCATGGAGATGGTCAAAGACGACCTCCTCCAGCTGCTTGTCGACCTCTTCCTGCTCGCGGAGGATGACATCCCGCTCGCGCTCAATGGCTTGAGGCTCGAGCTTGCTGTTTTGAAGGATATCGGCGAGGATGTCGACCGTGTTGGGGACGTCGCTGTTGAAGGACTTTGCGTAGTAGACGGTGTTTTCGCGAGACGTGTAGGCGTTGAGGTGTCCACCCATGTTCTCAATCTCGAGTTCCAATTGATGTTGCGATCGCTTCTGGGTGCCCTTGAACGCCAAGTGCTCGAGGAAGTGGGCGGTTCCATTGGTCTTGTCCGTCTCTGCGCGCGAACCGGCGTCAATCCACACGCCTACGGTCGAGGTTTGCGCGTAAGGGGAGTGCTCGGTTGCAATCTATTCATTCCATCATCCATCAGTATGTTTATTCCCCATCAATATCATCCATCCATCATAACACGCACAGTAAAGCCATTGCTCAGGGTAGTGCTCTCGGTGGTGCTGGCATGGCCGACGGGCGTGGCCAGGGCGCGGCGGGTGATGTTGCCGAGGACGGGAGAGCGCGGCTTGACGGCACTGATGGCACGTTGGGCGCGGAGGCCTTGCTGGAGGTTCAGCGCGAGCCTTCGAGAAGCCATGGGGGGTGTGGGTGGGTGGGTGGGTGGAGGTGAAGCGGTGGTGATGTCGGACCTTCTTTCTTCAATGCATGCGCAACTTCCAGAAGTGAGAGAAGAGTGATGGAGAAAAGAGGTGGGACGGAAATCATGCAGCTATGTCATGATGAACAGAACTACAGCAACACCTTGATAGCAAGTATATCAATGTAAAAATGCGTCAATCAATTTATACGATATTATGCTGTATCCACGTCTTCACCATCAATCCAACAACCACTTCATCAATCCATCACTTGTTGTCGTTGTTTCTCGTTCCAGCCAATGTCATCCAGCCAGCCAATCACAGCCTGCTTATCCGCCCATTATTCCCGAGGTTCATATCCGCCGTGACATCGAACATCACCACTTCCTCACCATTCAGTCCATTCCACCACAACACCACCCACCATGGCCACCTCGACCCTCCGCTCTCCGGCGCTCCGCCAGCTCCTCGCTCCTCGCACCACCCGCGCCCTCTTCTCCCCCAAACTCAACCAAATCCAACGCGCACAATTCCAAACCTCTTCCCGACGCCAGATCCTTCCCCCGCTTCCTCAAGTCATTCGCGGCGGCGTCAACGACCCGGCTCCCGTTCCTGAATCACACCCGGCGCATGGAAGCTATCACTGGAGTATGGAGCGCGCCGTCTCCGCTGCTCTGATTCCTCTGACCGTCGTGCCTTTTGCGGCGGGAAGCATGCACCCCATTCTGGATGGTGGTTTGATTGGCTTGATCATCATTCACAGTTACATTGGTTTCCAGTGGGTCTCACGCATATTCCAAGAAGAGCGAGGGGATGTTACATACTGATCATGTTTATGTGTAGATCTGCCATCACCGACTACTTCCCCAAATGGCGCGTTCCTAAGATTCGTAAGGTGGCCGATTGGGCGAATTTGGCGGCCGTGTTTGTCGTTGGTTGGGGTTGGTACGAGTTTGAGACGAACGATGTCGGCTTGACCGAGGGAATCAAGAGGGTCTGGACTGCGGGTGCCACAGCCAAGGAGGCTGCCAACAAGGTGCAGTAGAGGGTGTGGTGATGAGATGAGGAAGGAGTGTACATATACAGAGCTGCGAAACCAAAGAGCAGTGAGGTGTTGTGGAACGGGCGGGGATAGGCATGGGGAAACGAAACCCGGCATGGAGCTATACAGCCTCCGAAATGGCACGTTTGATCTGTTCCCATCCCCTCCCTCAGACTCGTGACGATGTCGAGATTGTGGGCAAGTCTTGATGAGAACGCCGCAGCTGGTCTTGCCATGTGGCTGTGGCGACATACGACAGAGCTCTTTTGAGTTCTGGGGGCATGCGAGCTCTGGACCTCAGCTCTTCGTTTTCGTGAGATCTACAAAAGGGATCTGGTGATTGATGCGTAGGATTGAATACCCCTGAAGAGGCAACTTTCCGTCTAACTCGGTGCTTGCAACTCCATCTCCTCCCTTAATCACAGGACTCGACCAGCCAGCCAGCCATACAAGACATTATTTCATCAACATGTCAAAATCAAGCAATGCATCCGTCCTCTTTAGCACCTTCTCCCATCTTCGCAGCATATATGTATGCGTAGCAACGCTTCCCGAATTAATACCTCGAGAACTAAAGGACAACATGGTCGTGATAGCCAGCGAAATTACAACCTCGATACCGCCATCTCAAGCACACCTCACGCAGTTCCTTGAGGAGAGACTACGAGGGACACCTGCGCTTAGAAAACTGGTACCTTCACAATCGCCCGCTACTTCTTTTCGAATATTCATCGATCTTGTGGAAAGGGGAATGAGGATCCTTTTTCAATGAGATTGGGATTTCGCTTTGAAGATTCTGGAATCTTGGGAGGAGGGGGAGCTGTGTTGAGTAGACGGGAGAAGTCCCTCGTAAGGCGGTGATGTGCAGTACATGCCTGTGGTGTGTTCAGGAGCGCAATCCTCTCTTCACTGTGCGCCACAAGATGGAGAAAGGGCAAGATTTGTCGAGAGCGCCGCGCCACAACTGCTCCACACTTATGCATTCCCTTGGTTTTTCCCGAACGCCTGTGCGTGTCTGTTCTTGTACCTCAGCTCTACTCAACAAGATATACAACGAGCTTGGACGTGGCTTGCTGCTGAAAACATTCCTCCTCCGCCGACGCATTCCAAACATTCCACACGCGACGTTGAGAGTATGAAGGCATGGCCGCCCGCTGGCATCGGCGTCATCAAGCTTGATCTCTGTGGAACATCAAGAACTTGGGCAGAGAGAGAGTCCGAAATCCATGCCCGCCTCCCGTCGTTACCTCTGAAGAGGAAGGATGAAGCTGATGCCGATACCCGAGAGTCTATTTAGCGACGATCAATAACATAGAAGGTAAGGCAGCAACCCTCGGACACATTTCCAGCGAGCATGGCGCTGCCTCAAGAAATTCCACGCAAGAAGACATCCATTATTCGAAGCATCGATCAAAGCGGCGATGAGCTCATTCCCGAAGATTCAACGCGTGTTAGTCATCTTGCTACTACTCCTCATGTTGGCGTTCTACCTTTGGCCCAATTCCAAGGTAAACGGCGGCACGAGCATCGCGATACTGAGCATGACCACCGGGGRGACCAGCTATGACTGGATGTCCATATCCAACAAGCACGAGTATGCTGCAAAGCACTCATACGACCTCATCTGGAGTTTCACGGCGTCGACAGTAGCTGCAAACCATGCCAAACCATGGGCCAAGCTCGACATGATCCGGGATGCCGTACAAGTAACAAGTTCCGGCCAGAAGAGCTACGAGTGGCTATGGATGCTGGACTACGATACTTTGATCACAAACCCAGAGAACCGCATTGAAGACATCATCGAACAGAGTCTCCAACTCGCGAAGACTGAAGGTAAAGACCGAGACTCAATCCAGCTCATTCTCACTCGAGACTGCGAACCCCTCAATGCGGGCAGCTTCTTCGTCAGAGTCTCCCCTGGGATGCTGGAGTTCATTGAAGAGTGGCGGAGCGGACAGCAGCCCAATACCCCAGAACGAACGGAGCAGGACGTGCTGAGGGACATGCTTCTTGACAATGTTCTTGGCATGGAGGATCGGAGTGTTTTTGTGCCGCAGACCATGTTCAATGCGTACCCAGAGGRGCTGGATCACTGTCGTGACCCGAGAGATTCAAAGTCGTGGGAGGGGGGTATGTTTGTGATACATTTCCCCGGAGCGAATTGGTGGTTGAAGGAGGACGATGCTGTGGGAAACTTGATGCGGAAGTACTTCGCAAGAGCGTTTTCGGAAATACCACTCGGCTGACTTGAGCTCGAGCATTATGCCACCAGGGCATTTTTCTCCATACGCATTGAGGGGTGGAAGCTGCACCTCCATACCACCCTTGATCTCAGCCCATGAGGAATGAAGTTGGAACTCAGAGTACCACATGTGGTGTCTCGAGGCTTGATCGGGCTTCTCTATCATCGATCACCAGCTCTGAGGCATCATTCAGAACCAAGTTCGGCAAAGTCTGCAGTAGCACAACCGATGCGCGCGTCTACCCACGGCCCTGCAGCTATCTGCAGGCTTTCTGCACGCTCATATCGTTGAGGTCTCCGTTCGCGCGTTGGATGTTATTAACGTAGACAGCCGACTTTCGGGTAACGATCAAGCATTAGTTCCATCAGAGTGGTCTAACCTTCGCGGTAGGATCGCAGCAAACAGAGCAAAATGGTACGAACGAAACGGCCTTCATGCTACATTTCAATCGGATCCTCCTTGAAGGTGAATTTGTGGATCTGCCGACAAAGTGAGCTGTTGACGCTTCATCGACGGATAGCTGCACACCGACTTTCGAAGCAAACAACACTTTGCGCGCTTCCTTGCAATGCGACCGTATCATTATCCAGCTTGGAGCTCGGAGCTTGCGAGACTCTCTACATAGTACGCAAACCTGCATTGGTCGCACGGAAGCAATTGGCTTCTGTCGGAAAGCTGAGAGCAAACAGTGGAATGGGTCTGAAGCTCAGGGATGAGAATGACCCATCTGCCTTCGACCACATCGCGATATCTCCTTTCTCGAATTTCTTCTCATCTCTTGTTCTTCGTATCTCCCGAGTTTCTGCTATTTCTTCCTTTTGTGTTTCTCTCTTCGTGGTATATACATCGTTTCTTTTTACTTTTATATACACAAAACTTCAAAAACGTTCGCGAGCTGGTGCTTGGCGATATTGGGGTCGATTGCACTCCACCAGAACCTTGACATGGACGACTGTTGCTTGCGGGCGACAAAAAGATCCATTTGATCACCAGGTCCTCCGGACCTTGGGAACAGTCGTGCGAGGATGGTGGCTTTGCGGGAATGGCAACATTGACGTTGATGTGAAGCACATTGTGCTTGCTGCCCAAGGCATTTGCTGTGAAGCTGTTGGGTTTCGCGCCTAATGCTTCTTTGCGGACGACGCAAAAATTTGCGAGGAACAGATGTCTATCAGCTTTGGACCGACCTGAAGCAGGGTGGAGAAGCGAAGCTTCCAGGTCTTGCCGAGCGAATCTGTGTGAAACCTCATGGCGACTTCTCGAATCCTGGGGGGAAGATTGAACTGTTTACTGGAGCAAGCGGAGGCGTGCTTGGGGATTTGTCGGTGCTTTTTCAGTCCGTTGGGATCGAGGGTATGTTTGAAATTCGAATCTTTTCCGACAATACGCTAACTCTCTTACAGAACCTCGTCAACTACATTGCGAAAACATCAATCTCCTCTAAGACATCGGCAACTTCCTCCGGGGAAAGCAATCGCAGTCCAAGGCGCAGCAGCAGGTGCATGCATAGGCTCGACGATATTGTGTACGACGAAGTCAAACCTGCGGAGGAAGCACTCCGAGGACTTTCCCATTCTCGTCTGGTATCAGAAAATTGATGATGGATCCGCGCTCACGGGTACACCTTCGTGCAACTCTAGAGGAAGAGCTTACGGCTCCGCATGATCGATGCCTGCAAGCCTCTCATCTGCCAGGACGTCGCCGGCGTGTAGTCTGTTCGAAGCCTTCCAGATGTGGGCAAACCTCTACGAACTTCTTATACCACTCGACTTCCCCAAGGACGACCTCAATCTTCACCGAGAAAGTCGTCGGCTGGATGTACCACAATGTGACCCAAGACAATCACACCAGCACTAAGCTCGTGGTCATTCTAGGATGGAGGACCCAGACCAACTACACCCGGCGACTGCCACCGTATTGGCGTTCTCATACGCTGGTACGGAGGTGGTCGTCGGGGAGGTAGCACGACCGCCACAATTCCATGTAAGCTCAATCATCTCTTGTGCCGCGTTGATATTGCCCTTGATGACTGACCGCAACACAGACTTTCTGTTGTTTCCTTTTATATACACAACCAACACCAAGACCTCAGTATACAAAGCTATCACTCTGACTGCACGATTTCTGTCGCCGCACCAACCAGCGCCGCATTACATCGCTGAGAATCGATCCGTCTCCACCTCGCCAGTCTGTCCCGTCAAAAACCCCCCACAAGATCTTCAGCGAGGAATGACTCCAGCACCTGGCGAAGTGGTCTGGCCACTACAGTCTCGCGTACGTTCTACGGCATGATACTCGTTGCGATGATTGGCTGACATTGTCATAGCTCCCTCGATTTTTCTTCTTCATATATACAACACAACCCTCACAACCGACCTTTATATACACAACGACTTTCCACAGAGAGCACGGCTGAGTCTCGAAGAGGCAGATCAGAATCAATGCCTACGCCAGCCACAGCAATGCGACAACTCCTTTTTCGCACAAGTGTGATCATCCGGGCTACTCTGGCAGAGCAGGCCGCGCGGATAACTTGGAGTCAGACAAATTGGCCCACGACGGCGACGCCGAGAAGAAGTTCATTTCCGCTGTCTGGTCACTGGAACATCATTTGATACGTCAATGAAAACGCCTACGATATTCTGGTGGACGAGGCAACACCAGCACGCCACTCTGGAGCCTCGCAAGCCCGGCAAATCAACCATTAACAAGCACGACAAGCGCGATGCGAATGACTCTCCTCCTCCTGGAAAAGGGAGCATTTCGCCGCCCGAAATCACAGYACAACATACACGATATCGTCTCCTTGTATGGGCTTTACGTACAAATGTTCACGCTATACATTCCCTTGAAGTAATCACACTMTCGTCGTGGAAACATATTCTCATYATCAGGTGATGGATTCGAGCGATGAAGTGATAACTCAATGGTGATGGTCTACTCCAGGCAAGAAGTTGAAGACTTCCTTCTAGTTAAAGCAAACGCAAGTGCCGCTGACGTCGGTCCACATTTGCAACATTCACTTGTCGGGTAAATGGCATTCAAAGTACCGAATTCTATTTTGGTCTTGCTTTCTCGGAAAAGATCAACGCTCACAAAGTCTATGCCGGCTAAATGTATTGATCGAACTTTTKGATTCGTGACGCTTTCCTCGGGATTATCATCTCATCGGTCGTTCTGATTCATTTGGGAAGAGACCGGACGGCATCGTTTTGCTCAGCAGTTGGAGTTGAACGTGTAAGGAAGAAGAAGATGATTGCCGCCGACAGGTTTCCACTTCGTTCAACCCCACACGCTAGCAAATGTGTATTTTCCATTTACTTGGGACCCCAGCCTCCACATTCATGATGAAACGGAGAATTTGGCTGTGATGATCTCTGCCGGGATGTGGAGAGACAAGGTACGTCTGAGTATACGATGCTATTCTGGCCACAACAGGCTTTGACGAATAATTCGTATAAGATGGCATTTCACTCCCCCTCTACTGTTGTTTACCCCTATCAAGCGCCGACACAATCGCGATGATGCTCAACATGCGTATTCACACGTCGCTGGCGGTCTTCACTCTCTGCACTGCGCTTTCTCAAGCAGCTACATTCTTCCCACTCATCAACATGACTGATACTGCTGGAAATTCCATCCAGGCGCATGGTGGCAACATCATCCGAAGTCAGGATTCATCGGACTCTTCCTGGTACTGGTTCGGAGAAGACAAGACTGGACAAACAACCGGAGGCACATTCCAAGGCGTGAACTGCTACAAATCGTCCGATCTCGAAAATTGGGAGTATCAAGGACATGTCCTCTCACCAATCGCGGACACAAATATCTCCAGCAGCATGATTGTCGAACGACCCAAGGTTATCTACAACGATAAGAATCAGGAATATGTCATGTGGTTTCACGGGGATTCATCCGATTATGGAGCAGCGCAGGTTGGAGTCGCAACGTCAAAGTCCATTGAAGGTCCATATACTTGGCGTGGTAATTTCAACCCTTTTGGTCAGCAGTCTAGAGACATGACCATCTACAAGGATCCCGATGATGGGACCGGCTACCTCATCTTCGCAACGAACAACAATGCCGACTTTGAGATTGCATCTCTCGATGAAGACTACTACAATGTTGCGGAATCGCAGTATACTTTCAAAGGAGTCTATCAAGAAGCACCAGGAGTATTCAAGATTGATGGCGTATATTACCTCCTCTTCTCTCCTCAGGACGGCTGGACTCCTACAGACAACGGTTACCATTCAGCCACAAGTATGAAAGGACCATGGTCGGAGACAACATTGCTTGCACCCCAGGGAGCCTACGCATATCTCACACAGAATGCATACGACATAACCATCAAAGGCTCACAGGAGACCTTCTACCTCTACCTCGGCGATCACTGGAGTGGCAACCAACTCGGCTCTTCCACATACGCCTTCTATCCCGTCAACTACAACGGTTCAGGTCTTGCACTCGAGTACACGAGCGGTTGGCAGCTTGATATCGAAACCGGAACACACAAAAATCTCCCTTACACATCCATCACTGCCGACAACTCCACCACGCCGGACGATCAGCTCGTTGCATGCGAGAGTGCTTGCGCAGGAGGCTTAGCGGCAAATCTGACGACTGCCGATCAGACTTTTTCATTTCAATGGAACGGAAGCGCAGGCAAGAAAGTCGTTTACATCCAATATACCTATGCCGGAGCGAAGAATGCTTTCAGACATATCAGCGCTACCGTGGATGATAAGGCTGTTGATGGCTGGGCTCTACTGGAGACTTCTCGAGCGCATACTTTTGCGCAACGAGCACCGCTACCTATGACTTTGGCGGAGGGAAGTAAGGTGGTGTTGAAGTTGGCTGATGTTGGACTTCAGATTCGGGTTGAGGGGGTGCTTGTCTTTGATGATCCTAGGTAGACGAACGATTTCAGTCGGTACATGCTGTTTAATGAAAGTTATGATGTTACGCTTCGTTATATCTCATACGATGTCTACTTTATCTTCACAAAAAGGCGATGTCGTTATTTGCGAGAAATACACATGGAGGTTGGGGATATTGTATTTGGTTGGTCATAATTTTACTTTTTTGGGCCGCTGATATTCGATAGCCGGGTATTGATATTGAACATGTCAGAGCTCTTTTCCTTCGCCAAGGATGATCCTCGTCAGGAAAACTAAGGGTCACATGCAATGTCGGTGGGAGACACAGATGGCTGGATGATAAAGTCATCATACTTGGCCAGGTTTCCCGCGTGCGTCTCAAAGGACAACACGCCCGCATTCTTCACCACCGTGAAGCGAGTGGAATAGCTGCAAGAGCGACTCGTTAGCTCTTCGTAATCTTAGTTTCGAGAGGCTGCGGATGGGAACTTACTATGCCTGAGAGCAGTTTACGCCATCGTAGGTGGCTTGAATAACGCCAAGTACCTGGTACACCTTCTGTGTGCTGGAGTCGGAGTCAACGGTGGTGGCATTTGGACGATGGTTCCAGTGCTTGTTGCCAGCCGGCGGTAGGAGTCTCTGCTTCAGAGCGATGATCTCGTCGGAGCCAGTGGCGACGATTCCGCGTACAATGAGTTGTCCATCGGGCGTGAAGAAGTTGGAGAACTCGGTGGTGTAGGCTGGGACCTCTGTGGATCGGTAGAGTCTTACACAGGGGGAATCTTGTCAGTTTCTTCATCGGTTGACCGAAGTAGATGGGAGACTCACTCTTCGACGTAGGCCTTGAATTCTGGCTCAACGCCAGCTCCTGGTTTGTAGAAAGACATGTCCAGGGATTGCACGAGGCCTGCGAGGCCAAGTGCCAGGATAGGAGTGAATGACTTCATTGTTTGCTAGTTATGTTCGGGAGGAAGATTTTGTTGGTCGATCTGTAGTTGGGGCTCTTCGCTGCTTTATACAGATGGMAGCTCGAGCGCACGTGGGAGCACTGACTCGTGTCATACCTTGTATTCTTCCGGTGATCGGCGCATTGGTTGTAAAGTTTGTGCATAGTGATACTCAACTAGGCTACTTAACGGTATAGTGGCCACAAGTCAGGCAAGGTTTCTCCTTCCGCTACTGGTCCGCTGCCATCAAAGCCTTGCACTACCATTCTTAGGGCTTGCAAGTTGCAAATAGTGTTCGCTTGCTCGAGAGGAACGAAAACTTCATAGCCCTATATGTACAACCTGAATCCGAGGTCTTCGCGGTAGTAAGACGATGATCGACTCCTAGCTCACGCGAAATCGGATCGTCCAGTGATCCGAGTGCATATTAGTGATTGATGCCTTAACCAGTACATGGCCTCCAAAATCGTTGATTCCCTTCCCCTTGAACACGCTGCAAGGTAGCAGTACTGCCCTTGAACAATGAGAAGACGGCGGTTTCGCCTGATGAGTTGGATGACCCGAGATGCCACAAGCATGATCTGAACCCTTCCCTGGATTACACGTGGCAGCCCTTGTAGCGTGTGATCCAAGACTCGTGATCCTTGTCAGTCCAACTGGCTCCGAAGTTGGCGCGGTAGCCAGACCGCTCCCTCGCGCCATCAACTGCGTCTGGACACAGCGGAGATCCTTCCGAACACCATCMTACCATATCTATACGAGATTCGATGACCCTCAACATGCTCGGACAGGCTAGAAGGATCCCAATGTGGCCAGACGCTATACTAAGCTGACGACGTTGGCTCGTAGCAGCTAATGCCTTGCTTGAGACTTCGACCATGCCCGATCACGCCATTGGACGGAGAAACGGACAATGTTGAGTTGATCTTTTGATAGTGGCACTTTCAGGTCTGCCCTATTTTCGGTGAATTGACAGCGTTTGACAACGTCCTGGGAGAGTCCGTTTCAATCCAGAGACTATCATCATCGGTACTTCCGACGTCCTTCGCGCCCTCCAGGAAGGACTTTGTGGTCAACTTTCAGCTTAATGTGTAGGAAGCTCCCAGGTCTCGGTCGGTTTCCTCGGTTCTGAACAGCGAATGGAGCACTGTCGTCCAAACGGCATAGCGAACAACACAGTACGGGTGCAATGTTTCCAATTGGAAATTATTGGTCGTGGATTATTCGCAGGACTGGCGGAAACCTAGGTGGCAAGGTAGAGCTGATCCAGCACAATCTTATCACGAATCTTCTCGTTTGTCCCCTGAGATCGTTGCATGATACCATTCTCGGATGGGTGGAATACGAGTCGTACGATCCCCTTTCAGGTGTCTTTGCAGTGCTCCACGATGATCATCCTGTTTTTGACTCGGATGCGGAGCTATGGTCCACTTGCCAAAGAGGATATGCGCAAGATGGAGCAAGCCCTTCATGTGTGATTAGCACAAAATGGGCTTGAAAGTCTCGGGATCACTTACGCCAGCATTCTCGTGCCTCATTTTAGATCGTGCCGGAATACAAAGAAAGCCTTGGTGATCCCAAAGGGACGAGTCGATCCTGGAACACCGTCAGTTATCGCCCTTGAGGAAGCTAGGGAGGACTTACAGATGGCACGCCTCACAATCCCATAGCTCGTCGACTCGGCGCTCAAGAACGTGGATATCTGCACCGAGGCTGATGAGATATCTTGCTATGCTGGCATGACCATGGWAGCAGGCAATCTGAGCTATGTCAGCAACAACCATCCCCTTCATATGCTGAATCAGCTGTAATGCAATAGGTCTGAGCTCACATTGATTAGACCGCGGCCAGCTTCGTCGCAATCGACGGGCCTGACCTCGTCGCGGAAGATGGCTTCGCGCAGAGAATGAAGGTCACCCTGGCGTATCGCTTTGAGAGCCACGGAGTCATCGGCAAGTACCTTTGACACTCGAATGAAAGGATGCGGCAATATAACACCTTCGTCGGAGGAATGTCTGGCAAGTGAGATACAGACTCTGTAGGCGTTCGGCTGCTTTCCAACATTCATCCAGATTGCACCATCAAAGTGGCTGTTATCCATTGGGGTGGGCTCATCACGATACACGGCATTCAAAAGGCTATGGGACGTCCTGGACCAGAAAACCAACCGTCCAAGCGGGCTTTCGACTTGGCCGGTAATCATTGAGCTTATTATGCCGGGGGAATCAACAAGCGAGATGCCACCGTCTAGACAACATGAGTAACGTTTGGATTGCGTAGTAACACGCMACTTGCCCTCTCTTTGCAGCTTGATGCGATTTGCAATGTCAAGGATGGAGAGCATTGTCTTCACATCCATGCCGGTCGATGCAGTATCTTTGATGGAACCTAGGAGGATCCTGAGTGCCTGGAGGAGCTTCTCGCTCTGTTTCGTCGGCAGAAATACGGACCCTTGAAGCTGCAACGCATAAAGTTGCTCGACGAGGGTGTGTAACGAGGCTACTGATATCTCGACAGTAGACGAAAGTTTCGTCGGGAGAGACAGAGACGTGACCTGGACAGCCTCGACGACGCTAGGTGGACGAGTTCCAATATATGGTCGTGGTAGCTGGTCCAGCTTGTGGTGTAAGTGAAGCAGGCTTTCCTCGAGACCGCGAAATCTAGGTGAAGTTGTCTGCCGTCTCAAATTTTCAAAGTGATAATTCAGGAGTCCAGGTACCTCATGAAGACCTTTGTCGATTGCCTGTAAAGAGAGATGGCTAGCGTTAAGGATAGTCTCGGTGTTTGAGTGGAACGCAGCAGCACAGTGTTCCTGCTGAAGCTGCAACGCAAGTGCCTGCTGGCCGTTCCGGTCCAGAACTGTCATCTGTTGGCTGATACCAGCAACACGTATACTGAAAGTCCGTCAGCTCAGAGACTTGAAAGCGCTGTGAATGAGGATTACCCGTTGACGATCTCTGTGTGAAACGTGATGACGGACAAGTGCAGCAACACGCTCTGCCGCATCTTCTCAAAGTCCTGCTGATACAGTAACGGCCGAAACCTCATCATCATCCTCCGTAAGATAGTATCATCCGGTGCAGGCAAACATCGGTTCAGAATCATCCTGTACGCATCCATCTGCCGCCGAGCGTCCTTGAGCGATACCTTGAGATTCCTGGCGAGATCTGCCGGTAATGTCAATTCTGGAGCTGCGAGAAGGTGCGCAGAAAGCTGCTGCAGAACATGACAGAGACTTGCAATGCCTTGGAGTAATTGCTTGACATCTTGAGGTCCTCCACCGTAGGCTGCTGCTGCTTCGTGGATGAGTTTCGCGCTTTGGGCGGCGATTGTGACAAACGCTACGATTCCCGCGGCGACTTCCATGGTGTTAGATTACGCCAGCGATATGTATGGATTCTGGTCGACATATACATGTAGTAATGTTCCATGCTTGGAGGCGCAGCCAGCCTCATGCAAGATGCGGGACTCAGCCGCAAGCCATGCATGTTAGACGAAGGCCCCATCGGCAAGTCATCTCAACAAGCATCATCATTAACCAGGGTAATATGATGGCCATCAGGAACAACGCCCAATGCAAAGAGTGGCTGTATGTTGTAAAGTCGAAAAGATGGTTGCTGCTTGCCTAGAGGTCCTCACCACCGCCTTGGCATCACCTTTCCCGCAGGGTTAGGGTTGGGGTACAGCCTGGTTCAACTTTGAACGACGGACAYTGAGTCATTGAAAAGCAGTGAAGAAGTGAGACTCATCTCGATACATGCTATTAGGCCCTTTGTCTTGGCCGAGTTCACACAATAGGCGTTTTGGGACGCAGCATCAGAGCATCACCAACGACACAAACTGTGGAGTTGTTCCGCCCTGCGGGCGACGACGACAAGAGCACATTGTGTATCCTCATATCGAGCAAAACGGCAACTGCTTTGATCATATATTACAGAACATGAAAGCTCGAACTAGATCAAGCTTTTGGCTTCAAGTAATCGGGAGTGAACTATCCTCAACTCCTATCCATTCGTGCCTGAAGTTGCGCCTGTGGAACGCCATCCGAATCCATTCCAATCATCAGATCATCTCCTTCCCAGATAGCTTCTTCCAAAGTCATCAACCCACTGCCCACTACCATTGATCCCCCTCTCACCACCGAGTGTCCTTGCCTCCCTCTGCGCAGCTGCCACCTTACTCTGCAATTCTGCTGATCCTTGGCCGATGACCTGCAACTGGCCCAGATGCCTGTTCAGGACACCAACGATTTGTCTCAGAGGATCCTCCTTTCCATCACTACCCGTTCTCTCTCCATTCCCGCTCAGCTTCTCGCCAACAACATTGATCTCTCCAACCATCTCACCCAAACTGCCCTTCAACTCTCCCAATCGCTTCGCACATCCCTCAGCGACCTTGTATGTCCTCTCGCGCTCTGCATCAACACCCTCTCCAACGCCAGCCTTCTCCAGCAGAGCATCCACTTCGCCCTCGTAACGGTCCAGGAAGCCTTCGATCTCGCCCTGCACCATCTCGACACCTGCAAGTTGACGTTCAACCTCACTACAGTCCCTTTCGGCCTGGAAGCATCGTTGGTAAAGGGCGGAGATTTTGGTGCTGTTGTCCACGAGCTGGCGGTCCCATGCCGAGACGCGGCCGGCGAGTGTTTGGAAAGTCTTCTGGTGGGTGGTCAAGGAGGATGACCACATCGTGAGTACTTCGTCGAGAGATTTGTGGGCGAGACGAGATTCCGAGCCGGCAGGGGGCCCCGCTGCCGAAGGGGCAGAGTTGGTGGAAGGTGCTGGGTTGTTCGTGCCCCCTCCTCCACCACCGGTGCCTGCCGATCCCCCTCCACCACCACCGCCTGGTGCTCCACCACCACCGCCGCCTCCACCCGCTGCCGAAGTCCCACCAGCTCCCGATCCAGGCGCGGAGAATCCCGTTAAATTCAAACTTGCAGGAGCTGTGGCTTGAGAAGATGGTGCCGCTGTTGAGGAAGAACCGGCTGTGGAGGCAGGAGTACCGCCGAAGCCCGCGAAAGGATTGGAAGGTGCAGCTGATGTAGCGGTCTGCGGCCCGCTGGTTGAGGTAGTTGAAGGGGGAGTCGCGGTGGATGAGGTTGTCGGAGCGCCGGAGAACAGAGATCTAGGAGCGGCAGACGAACCAGAGGTAGTGGTAGTCGGAGGGTTGAACATGCTTGATGATGCGGGAGCTGCACTAGAAGTGGGAGCTGGGTTGAACAAGCTCGATGTCGGTGCGGACGTTGTTGTAGTGGGGTTGTTGAACAAACTCATCGTCGAGGGAGCTGTGGTGGTGACTGCTGTGCTACCGGCTGTAGTCGAAGTAGGTTGAGCCTGGTTGAACATGCTGCCTCCACCGAGACCCCCAAGACTCAACGGTGCCGGAGTGGACGACGTTCCTGGCGCAGCACTCTTACCCGCCAGGTTGCCGAACATACCTCCGCTGGGGGCTTGTGTAGAGGATGGTGCGGGTGCATTCGAACCAAAGAAGCTCGAGCCTCCGGCGTTGTTCGCAGGTGTAGTGGATGATGTATTCGCATTGTTCCCGAACATACTCGGGCCAGGGGTTGATGCTGTGTTGTTGTTGCTGGGATTCGAAAACATGCCTCCTGTATTAGTCGCCGCGGACGAAGGAGTGGTCGAGGTTCCAAAAAGTGATGTGGTGGGTTTGGCAGCCCCTCCAGCACCAAACAGACCGGATCCACTCGTTTGTGTTGAAGAATTGGTATTCTGGCCCAGACTGGCCCCGAAAATAGAGCTCGTTGATGGCGCGGATGATGTTGCGCCGCCAGTTGAGGCCGCCGGCTTCGAACCAAAGAGTCCACCTCCCAATCCTGAGCCGCCATTATTGTTGCTGCCAAATGTGGTGGGGTTCGTCTTGGGCTCTCCGGCGGGCGTTGTGCTGGATCCAAGATTGAAGCCGCTGAATGACTTTGGTGGTTGTGGAGTGCTGCTGCCGGTCGGGTTTTGTGTGTTGCCGAAGAGTCCACTGCCGCCTGCGTTGTTGTTCCCACTTCCAAACGTTCCACTACCAAAGGTCGCACCGCCTCCACCTCCACCTCCACCTCCGCCACCAAACAATGATCCGCTACCGCTGGTGTTTTGTGTCGCGGATGGAAGGGTGGGTGTGGCTGGTTGTCCGTCGCTGTTGATGGCGCCAAAGAGCGGCTTGTTGGTGGAAGTGTTGTTGTTGAAGGCAAAGCCGCCTCCAAAGGGCGATGGCTTGTTCTGATCCGCCATGGTGGAAAAGATGCGCGGTGCGATGGGGAACAGTTGGATTTGCGATTGTCGGGAAACAAAACGCGTGGAAGCTGCGACGGACGATGGAAGTCGCGAAGCAAAGCGAAGTGATTCGGATGTGCGGGGCGAGCCGTGAAGTTAAATGCTGCACCCTTTCGTCTAAGGTAGGTGCTTTGCGTCAACTCTCACCAAAATGTCCTAACTTTCTCTCCATTGCATCAACAGGAATGCCGCAGAATTTCTCGGTAGACTCCAGCATCTGGCCTCACACTTCGGAACCCAGAATCGTAGGCATTGAACATCCTCCAACTGATTTGTTGAAAACCATGCTTGGAGTGGTTTGAAGGCAAATCCGCAATGTTTCATCGGCTCCTGCTTTCCCTGCCGAACGATCTGTCTTGATCATGTAGCTACCAAGGAATATCCCATCGACTCTACCTACAAAGTGGAATGCAATGATTAACTTACACCCGACAATTTGAGCCTCGAATCCGGGAAATGGAACAGTCTGACAGCCAACACCGTTGACCCCATCGCTGGAGATGGGTTCATAGCTCAATCTCATGTCACAAGTATGAGGTACTTCTTTGAGAAAGATCAGAGCATGGAAAGGTACCTTGAGCACAATACATGGGAAGAAGAATCATGAAGTAGACTGTTGTCATTCCACTCATATCGTCAGGTCCATGGTCGAATGTTCTCGTAATACGGGCTCACGCATGGACCTCGTACACACATCTCAGCACCTCATAACGAACCAAATGCAAAGCCCGTTCCTTCGCTATGCCCAAATCAGACCCATCCAAACGCCGCTGCCTTGAAGACGRTAACAGTACACGTAATGATATCACATCTCCCTAGTTGTCATCCTCCAGCTCCTCTACAGGCTTGTGTCTCGCCAGGACCTTTCTCTTGAACTCCTCCTGATCGCGATCCCAGAGCGTGGCAGCCTCTCCATTTAGTGGTGAAGCGCTGTGACAAGGTCGTTAGTATGCAATTGTAATCTCGCTTCAGAAAATGACTCACTTGTTCGGCTCTCCCAATAAGCTCTGAATGCTCAGCAGTACCGCTCCAGTGTTCAACACGGCACTCCATGCACCCTCTCTCCCCGCACCACCTTCCTTCAAGATATCCAAGCAGATCCTGCCAGCCATGTCGACGTTGGGGTGGTAGATGGGCGTCTTGAACCGTACTTCTGGTGGCGAATATGGGTAGTTGGATGGGAATGCAAGGGTGAGCTTGAAGGTGAGGTCGGCATATGGAGTAGCATCTGGACCCGAGAGGGTGGCGTTCCAGTGGGTGATGTCGGCGCCGGAGGGGAAGGCGGAGATACCGGGTGTTGGGGAGGTCATGGTTGTTAGGAGTTCGGATTGGAGGCTATATATGATCTGTCAGAAGGTGAATGGAACAACGAACAATCTGATGATGCGTACCGCTTCACGAGATTTCCACTGGCTGCTGCGCCGGTGGAAGCGGCTTTGTTGCTCTGGCTGATAGATGGAGTGGAAGCCATGCCGGGGTTGATGACGGCGGATCGGTTGGCCATGGTCTTTGGTGTAGGGAAGTGGAGCGGGAGGAGGATGCGTGGAAAGAAGGTTGATGTTGATGAAGAAGATGTCAGGCGCTGTTCTGGAACTTGTGTGCTTCTGGGTAGCGGTGAATAGAATGACGCGCAGTAACGGCAAAGACGTTTGTATGGTGAAGAAGTGAGGTAAGGTAAGGTAGGATGAAGATGAGGATGAGAGGAGAATCCGCGTTGCTTTCTCGTTGCTGGGCAAGTGTTTACTTTTGCCGCCGCCCGCCGCGTCCCGTCGCAGATTAACCCCGCGCTAAATCCGTGCTTCCATTTCGGCCAGCCAAGCGTGTGAAGTTCGCGTCTTCTCAAACATCAACATCGACATCACCCTTTCTTCACTGCATGAGCCCGCATCTCTTTTAAGAGCTGCCTGTCTTGAACGACCAAATATCCTACACTCCAATACGGGAGGAACTGCCGTCTATCGACAGCGACTTTCCATAGAGCAAGCTGAAGGCGCGACAGTGGAGAACAGTGAAACAAAGGCGTGCTGGTATGTGATGGCGACGAATAGATTATGATGCTCTATCAACCCATCCACCCAGACCAACGGATCACAACGAGTCGTCGTCTTGACCATCATTCTCGGGCGCCTAGAATAGCCAAGCAAAGCCGTCTCCTCGAGCCTTGCTGTATTGCTGAGCACACCATGGCGAATGATCTGGGACCTACATCATGTTAGCTGTGATTCGGCCATTTTGGGAGCTGCAAGTACCTACATGCTGGTGTTTTTTCTCATGCTTTCTCATCTTCTTGATCCTCTGCGTCAGCCGCGGCTTCTTCTTCAGCTGCAGCCTCTTCCGCCGCCTCCTCCGCCATCTGCTCCTCAAGCATCTGCTCGCAAATCTCCTCGAAGTGGTCGTCGAAGTAACCCATGTTCGCGGTGTTTTGTTGTTGAGTTGTCAAAGAAGAAGACCCGCGGAATGAGTTTGATTCAGTGTTGTGGGTGTGTCGGTGGAAGGAAGAAAATGGTGGCTCTTAAATGTTGAGGAAAGATCTGACGCATCGCTCCTGATTGTACTTTACGGAAGCATTGGAACAAGGTGCCGGGTTGCACAGGTGGGGTTTAGCCCCGCAGAAGTGAAACTGACGAAAGCCTCGATCGCCGGCCGAGTTACATCTCTCTGCATCGAAGGTTGATAAGATTCACAGAGTCCTCTTAAGCATCCTGGCGCCGATGCGCTGGTATCGAACCAATTCTCGCAAGATCAAAGCGAAAGTGGATCTATAGCGATAAGGAATGACTCCCGATGCAAAGAAACGCTTTGGGAAGTATACGGTAGCGGCGAAATTATCAAGCCCCAGAGCCACCACCAAGAATCGCCCTCCTTGGGCCGATCGCGAACGCAGCTCTTCAGCCTCGTCGGTCGTCTCATCAAGTCCACCATTGAATCATCTCTCCATTGACATTCCGTAGACTCCAGGCAACTTGCAGCGGCCATGTGAGTTCTGGAGACTGTTCCTGCTCAATCGGCTAAATACTACGTATAAAAACCAGAGGACGTCCACTGCGCAAATGTGTCCCACACGTGAGTCGAAGATGAAGAGCTTCTACGAAGATATTGTCCGCAAGGCCGGACATTCCAAGGAAGTACATGCCAAGGTTCAAGGTGTCCTTTGTCTGGCCCGGAACAAACCACATTTGGATTGACAACGTAAGGTATGCATCGACAGAAGCAGCAGTACCGGGCTACAAGAGGCCCTGAACTCCTAGGCATATCGTCAAGATTGACACTGCCGGTGGAGTCGACAGGCGAAAGCGCGACAGAGCTGTCGATGTGAGGACGATTCACCCAGACAAGACCCCCAGGACTATCCCTGTACAACCCTCAACCCTTGCTCACTCTACGGGCAGCGACTCCGAACGAACTGGAACCCTTACTACTTGCAGAGTAGCCCGCTGTGAATGGAGAGAGATGATGCCCGTATCGACAGCTCTKGAACGTTGCTGTTTACGCCTACATCGCGTCTCGGACTTTGATTGCAAGTCATTGTTCTTCGTCCCATGCCCCTTGGCCACACGCACGCAATCCATACCCACTCATATGGAACCTTTGTTCAAAGCAACAAAGATTGTCGCAGCAGACAATGCTGTTGTTATTGGGGGAACAAAGAGGAACTGAGACAATGTTCTCGCATCGACCACTACTTACGCCGCTGCCATCCCACGCTTCTCATTCCACTCATCTTGTCTCACAAATTGCTCCCTGTAGACCTTTGACTTTCGATACTGGTTATCGCATAGCCATCGGTCTCAAGCACTCTACTTCAAAGACACGATCAGACATCAGTCAAACCACTGTTCCATTCACCAAACACCATTATGAACATGGTCAACACCCGGGAACCCTCAGGTAGGGCCGGCTCATTAACATCATCGCACATCGAAATACAGGCACAACCTATAGCATCAGACGTCCTCCGTCGCGAGTCGCTGGACGACAGCGAGGAGACCGACGACTTTGCTACGATCATCGCACGCGGTCTTAGAACTCCAACAAGTGCTATGCGGAACTGGCTGAACGGTCTTCCAGATCCTGACGAACTTGGTCCAAACGAGCACTTCGCTGTGGCAGAGTACAATGACAGGGATGGGAGCCCCAAATCTGCCGTTCTTGTCTACGAAAAGGTAAGTGAAGAGTACGAAAATCCACGCACACCGCCCTCACACCCGACTTATTCCAGGCCAGCATTCCGCCCTTGTGAACCGTCGAAACGCACTCCTGTTCGTACCGAGCGTGTGAATCACATCGCTGACCCACACAATACTGAACAGCAGAGCTCCTTCAAACTCACTGCTCTCAACACTGTCGCAACCGGTAAGATCGTCCTCAAGCGCTTCGCAAAGTCCACAGGTAACGCTTTGGAACACATGGCCGTCATGCCGGACTACAGCAACGGCCCCTCAATCTCCAAACCAACCCCCAACGGTCCAAAAACTTCCGTCAACACCATCTCCCTCAAAGAAGCACAAGCCAGAGAGCAAGCCCGCAGAACCGCTTACAGACAACAACAAGTCGACAAGGCCAAATCTCCACCACCTCTCGAGCGAAAACAAATCGGCAACTCCAGTCGAGGGACTGTATGGGAGGACTTTGCAACTTACCGCACTCCTTCTGATAAGCAGCCGACTCCACCCGAAACACAAGAAGCACTCCCGCTTCCTCCACCACCAGCACCTCTCTCACCACCTCGTATCCCGGAACACATCAACAACCCCTCTCGCAAACCTCTCCCAGAGAACCGTCAGAAAATGAATCGAGACAAGGATCTCCCCGATAGCCCCAGCACGGACTCATTGAGGAGGCGAACCGATATGCCTCCCGGAGCGAACATGAGACTTGAACCGGACGTCGTGAATGTTCCTGCTGTGAGACTAGCTGTCGTGAAGAACCCTCAGCGGAAAGCCGTGGTCTCGCAGTACGGTCTTGTAGTTGAAGGATCTGCGGCCTCCTCGGGCGAGGAAACTATTTCCTGGCCGGGATCTCCGGCGAGTTGGGTTGGGAAGGAGGTGAATGTTAAGCGGACGCCTATGTGGTGGATGTTTGAGAGGGAGAGTAGTGAGGAGGATGAGGAGGAGGAGGTCGTCGTTGTGGATCCTACGCAGGCTGTTTGGAAGGGTATGGAGGAGTCTATGAGGAATGGTGGGGGTATGAGGAGGACTTCTGCTTCTGGAAGGGGCGGGTGCTTTTGAGGTTAGGGTTGGGTAAGTTGATGCTTTTCCTTACTTTGCCTCGTTGTTTACTTCTTCGTCTACCATAGGCTACATGTACTTTCCAGTTTCAAATGGTCATTCAGGGTTCCACAAATTTCACGTCACTTGTAAGGAGTCGTCGTGCGCTTCGTCAACATTTTCTGTTTATCCAACGATTTTTATTTTTATTTTCATTTTTATTCTGTTTTCCACCGTCTTGTCCCACACTCCGAGGTTATGCTCCATATCAGTTCCCAAGCCACCTTGAAGAGCATTCCCTCTGCTCTAATCAGAGCTGTTGATATGTAAAACCATCAGCAAGAGCAGCGCCTTGATCCGCTCTTTCGATTGGTTAAAGAGCTGCTGTGCTAATAGTAAAGATCCCAGTGGGACTTGACGCGCCGAGCCTGCAGAGAGGGAGGTTGTTCAACACTGTGAGGATGGCTGTGGATGCCTCGTTCCAATGTAGAATCCTCACATCGACAGCTCTGGCTCTTGTCCTGCGGTACCACCGTTATTTCGACCCTTTTCCGCTTTTGTCGCCTAATATTGACCACCACTCGTTTGCGATCTTGCCCTTATCGTTGTTGTAGGGTTCGGTAAAACGCGTCCACGCTCCGTTGATGTCCTGGTCACTTGACGCAGCGACTCAGGTCCAGATATTGAGAACGCCCAGAACAGCATAAATCTGGTCCTCCAACGGTGCTCGTCCCCTTGTGCCATCAGCAAGACCCTCCTGATGCTCCTTGAGCGCGTCTTTCGTGACATGCGCCCCGAAGGTTAAGAAATACTCGCGATAAAGACGATCGACCCCGAACAAGTCGTCGCGACGGGGACGCTCGCGACGGGGCACCCTGCAAATCACGACGTCTTCGCCACTGCTGAGATCTACGGCCCCATAGGCAAATCCTCCGATACCATTAGCTGCTGCATCTGGACCGCCTTCTCTCTTTGCCAGCCAGGAATCTGTGTCTTTTTTCCAGATGACGTTGTAGGCACCATTCTTGCCGACGAGTTTCAAGCGCAGGTTGTTGATTCCCTTCCAGTGCTGGTTTATACATCGCAGGAGCTGATGGCGCAGATGCCAGCCTGTAGGGAAGATTGCGGCATCGATGAAAAAGTTACTCGAGCGCCAGAACTGCTGCAACTTTTCCGCGTACATTGATGTAGTTTCGAGGCGGATTTGCTTGCAGGTTCGGGACAGAGCGGGAGCTGGTGGCGGTTCGGTGAGTAAGCTGACTTCGCCACTCGAGTTGGTATGATGGCTGAAAGCGTAATGGTAGATGAGGTTCCGAAGCTCGGCGGGAAGGCGCCCGAGATGACAGGTGCCTTGCGGATCGGGGTTCTGCGCTGGGTTGAAGTCAAGGTGTGATGCGGCGTTGTCAGGCTCGCGGTCGCACTCGAGGCTTTGCTGATGTGGTTGCCTCAAGGCGAATCTCACGATGAATCTTGGAAGATGTTGCACAGATCCTGTCGCTGTATTGTCATTGTACAGACCCTTGGCGAGCATCTTGGGCCTCGCGCGCGCAAGTGCAGCTTCCCGTAGCGTCCTCGTCGTGTAGTTCTTGCCAACCTGTCCACGACCAACGAGATGAAGGCGGAGCGCTGGAAGCTCCTTAGACTTGTATTTCACCATTGGGATGTAAGGTAGAGGATCGCCCGCCCCGGTCTCCGCTTTGATCGCCCGCACTTCTTGCATAACGGACATGGCAAAGACATCGACATCAATGTCTGTCCTGGCGGCTGGGGGGACAACTTCACAAATCTTGTATTGGAGATGACATCCGCCCGCACCTTCGCATATCATTGCAGTGATTTGGTTTGCGAGCGTCTTGTCGTCTTCGTCACAAATCCATCCCTTGGCGCGGAGCTTTGGAAGAACAACCGAGTTGATGGCCGCAGACCAGAATTCTGCCCGTTTGCGCTGTGAGAGGGTCGATTTGTAGGGCGGCATGGCCAAGTCACGACAGCGAAGCGCGCGGACTGCACGTTGCAAGGTAGTGAGCGCCATTGCTGTCCGGCTTGTTGTCATATTCGCTTCGTGAGATGTGTAGGTGAAGTGGAAGATGTTGATAATGTTAATTGTGTGATGTCGAGGATGAAAATGAAGTGGGGTGGTTTTAACGGGAAAGCAGTACGGCAAGCACCCGCGAATCTCGAGGATTTCTTGGCGCATGTGACAGCCCCTTGATTTCCATCTTGCCAGCGAAAACTCAATCTGAGTTGGGTGATATTTTGCGATCATATTGAGGGGARTTCATAGAGTGCTAATGTGACTACGTGCGGACTTCTGTGTGCCGCAGCTAGCTCGGGCGCGGAGAGTGGTCTACTTGAAGAAAACGAGGTACGGCACACCCAATTCAGATCGAAAGTGAGTAGAGAAGTATATGGAATGTTGCAGAGAGAGAGGCGGCTGGAATCAAATCTTTGCTGATCGCGCCTCAAATTGTAGAGCATCGTTTTGACGTTCCACCCGCCTACCCGAGAAAACAAACAACACCCCAATCTTCGATTGCGTCTTCACAGCAGCTTCCGCTCCGTGAAGAGGTTCTCAGCATGTGTCGCGCATTGTGTCACTCGTCCATATGAGATTTCCCCCGACCTTCAACTTCGCTCCTGACGCCTCCTTGCAGGATCATCAACACTGCACATCCATGCCGAACGTCGCCGATTCGAACGTCATGTGCTTTCGCCTTATCACAAACAAGTGTTCGGGCCCCAATCCAGCAAAGTCGCCCCTTTGAAAGCCTCAAACCCATTTATGTAGTCTCTCGATGACAGCAACGATTTGTTCTCGAAGATCAAACTGCATGCGTCTACCGTTTCCGATCATGCGCTGGTGGAACGATAGGTGAGTGGTAGCGGCCGAGCTGGAAATCTTCATTACATAGTCATCCCCATGGTGAGTGCACCGTGCCTGGGGGCTGCAATGGAAGATAATCACAATCTCGTCGACGCCCAGTGATCGTGTGCCTGTTGCACCGCGGCCAGATGGACACGGCCCGCCAACCCGCTGAACAAGCCAGTGATCTTGATTGAAGATGGCGTTGTAGATGCCGTTTTTGGCGACGAATGCGATCCGGAGACTGGTGATTTTCTGTGTTTCGCGCTGCGGAAGAAGCGAAATCGCGGGTCGTATGTGCCAACCGGTATACAATGCTGATGCATCGATGTAGAACTGACTGTCACGCCAGAAGTTGCGGAAGTTGTTCAGGTACATCAATCCGCACTCTTCTCCGATCTGCCTGCACGTCAGAGGCAGGGCTGGTGTTGGTGATGCCGCAGTCAGCAGATTGACCTCACCACTTGAGTCGGTATCGCCGTCCGATGCAAGCGCGTAGGCATATATGGCGTTGCGAATCTCCGCAGGCAAGCGCAAGAAGTGACAGATCTTGTGCTGCGAGTGTTCTTGCTGGTGCTGCTGGATGTCTGACTCTGAAGGAGTACTGAGGATGTTCCATGTCCGCTGAGAATCACGTCCACTGGCTTCTCCGATGATGCAGGCGGGAATCAGATGGGCTGATTGTGGAGGAACGGTGCGACAGATGTTCTTGGCAAGCTTCGTGCATCTCGTCCGCTGACGCGCGACAAATTGGTGGACTGTGGGCGGGAAGTTCTTGCCGACTCGACCGCGGCCCACGATATGTAGCCGCTGGGCTGGCAGGTGTTTGACGTTCCGTGGTTTCCACCGCTTCTGGTCAGATTRGACCGCTGCCACGGAAAGTGCGGTCTCCGACAACCACTCCATAAAACTTGCCGTCGCAGTAAGAAGAGCAGCGGGTCTCCTAACGACCAGGAGGTCCGTCATGAATTGAACCCACAGTTCGAGGCGTGGATGACCAACACTCTCCGCGATGCTCCTGACCAAGGTTCGATGGATCCGCCGGTACCTTGGTGCATCACCAGCCATTTTGGTCCAGATGGCGCGTTCGATGCGCGCGACGAAAGACATCTTGCGCTCCTTGAAGATAGTCGTCGCCTTCATCCTTGTCATGGCTCGCAGAGTCGGCTGCACCTTGACCGCCATCTGCCAGCGCTCCGCGCGGCGTGATGCGCGGTGTGCGCTCTTCCTGCCATCACGACTCATGCCGGATCGTGCTGTTCATACGCCGGCTCGATTTTGCGCGCACAATCGGGAGAGATGTTGTAGGTTGAAGAAGTGAGGTGTCGAGGAGAGTGAAGTGAATCACATTTGAAACGAAGCCAGCCGAGCTCATCCCGACCCGCTGCATCAGCATCCGAACGGCAATCGACAAGAATTACACGGTGCTTCGGACTGAGCACAAAAGAGACCTGTCAATACCTACCTGCTGAAGCTGATTGTAGTCTTGGCCAATTTCTGCACGCCAAGTCCTAGCAAAGCTCGGGAGTAGCGTCTATCCTCAAGCCTGAGCCAGGAGTTCACGTGCGAGAGTAGACGCTCGGCGAATATCTTTGCCAAGAGAATGGCAGTAACGTGACAGAATGGAGGAGCCAGCATTCGACACAAAGACCCAAGAAAGACTGGTTGTCATGCGTATAGAGGTATTATGTCTCTTTCATCATCTCTTTCTACTATCTGTTCAAAAAAGTGAGACAAAAGGCTTCTTTGTCTGCCGCTCATTCAGCCAGAGTAACAATGACCCCGAGCTGTCTATATATCCAGGTCAGCATCGCCCAGAAAATGCTTCCTTTGCCAGAGCAATCAAGCTTCCTTACAGCAGCACAGCAACCATAGACGATGAAGAGGTAAGTATCACCCAATAAACGAAATAAACGACTGACCGTATGTAGGCAACACATCCACGTCGGTGCTACTGCTGTGTAGGGGACTTATTGCCGGAGCGTGTCCTCCAATCCAATTTTTCATCAAATGCTGCGCTTCTCAGCGCGGATCTGAAGAAGAAAACAATGCGAGCATCTTCTCGCCGTCCAAACTTTCTCCCTGCTGCCGGAAACGGATGGAATCGTCCAGAACCTTGGCGAGAATATACAACATTTCAATCCTCGGGACTTGTACTCCCAACTGTCTCGCTTTCCTTAATGGGTTACCCAGGATTACCTCCACTTCCATCCTCCGATTCCAGAGGACATCGACAAGCATGCTTGGCTCGATACCCTTTGTGCCGATCCGATCCTTTGCACGATTGAGACCTACTTGTCCGGCGGCTTCATTCACAGATGAATAGCCAAGCGCTTTTGAGATTGCAATGACTTCGTTCATGACTTCCACAATAACACCTTCGCTTTCGGGCGAGCTGAGGAGGAATGCAGCATCTCGAGATAGAGTCAGAGCACAAATGGGATTCCAAGATGCGTTGAGTAAAAGTTTGTTCCACCGTTTCTCCTGGATGTCTTGAAAGTAATGTGCGTTTCCACCCGCTGACTTGAGTAGGGTGATGAGCTGATCGGCTGATGCTTTGACTTTTTCGTCGTTGTGAGCAGATGCAGGATAAGGTCCCATTTCGAGCGTCTCTAAGTCACCCATTTCAATGTAGCCAGGCTTGATCTGTGTTGTCGGTAAGTAGACCACACAGCTCAACAGGGGATTTTCCGGGAAGTGACTGGCATATTCTTGCTCGATGTCGATGCCGTTCTGAATCAAGACAATGGTCGTGTGGCCTGGAGTGACTGCTGCAGATACAGTCTCCGCTATTTTTGCATCTGGCAGTGCTTTGCAGGCTACAATCAGATAATCGTATTGTCCGGCAGCGGCAGCCTCTTCGGGGTCGCGGACAATGTTGGGGTGTATGTGGATTCCTTTCCCGTAGATGTCGCTGTCGATATGAAAGCCATCAGCTTTGGCTGCTTCGTAGTTTGAACGACAAACGGCTGTTACATCGCATCCGGCTTTGAGCAGGAGATATAGGTAGATTGTCCCAACAGCTCCAGAGCCGTGGAGAAGGATTTTGGGAGGCATGCTATGAGAGGAGACCAGCCGGATGGAAACCAAGTCAAAACGAGCGGCAGCAGTCTTGTACCATGCGAAGCAGAAGAGTCACTCACCCACTCTTGGCTGGAAGGTATTTCAATGGCCGAATGCCCAATGCGAGCGACGGGAAATGAGCAGAAAAGCTGATGAAGCTCTCCATTGCGAGATCGGCCTCACGGAACTGATAAGTTCTAGCCTTGGTTATCTCCCACATCGAAGGATGGCCGTGAACTGCTTCGTACACTGTTATCAACGAACATTCCTTCACAGGAGGCAGGCCATGAGTGAAAGTACAAAATCACGCATATCATGCAAAGATCGTAGTGGTCGAGATTCCCAACCTGCGTGAAAGCCGAAGCCGCCTCACCGCTTTCCGACCCCTCTCACTCTCGCGTGCACAAGATCAATCACATGCACGCGTGGTGCCCTGCAGGCCTAGGATATATATATCAAGCACCCATGTCTCGGAGCAATACCTGTATCGACCGTGGGAACTGATTGCACGATATAGAGTAACGTCCCCCCGCTTCTCCCAGGCCCCAGTGTTCGCCTACCAGACCCGCCCCTTCACCCAACGACATTCCGCACACCCAATCATGTCCAAACCCAATGGCGTCTTCCAATACTCCCTGCGATCGGCATACAATGCTGGACTGAAAGATGGAGGTCCTCCAGTCTCCTTCATTGCCAGCCAAGGAACGCACGGTATTGGCTGCTTTGAAGAGGAGGAAGAGAGCGAAATGGTGCAGATTGACGGGAAGATATACACCATCGACAAGGACGGGGATGCCGAAGAAGCAGACGAGGACGATACATTGCCCTTTGTCATGTCGACCCATTTCCAAGCCAAGTCAAGAGTCAAAGCGCCGCCGAACACCACAAGCAAGAAACTGAAAGAGTTGTTTGAGAGTGCGAAGAATACACCGACTGCATTTAAGTTGACTGGGCAGTTCAAGTACATCAATAGCCGGCAGAAGACTTTCTGGGATGTCAAAGGCACAATCTTCGGCTTCTCCGTGCCAGCGTGGCAGGCATCGATGAGTGGAGAGGGCCTGCAGTGTTGTTTCCTCAGCGCGAGCAGAGAGCAAGGTGGCACTGTCGTGGACTTTGAGACGGCGGATTGTGTGCTCGAATCAACAAAGTGCGGCAGATTTCACCTCACGTTCCCCCAAGACGACGAGTTTGATGAGATGCGACTCTGATGCAACCAATCATCTGAATTGTGCTACATGATCCTATTCTCGGACAAATCTTCCGCCATACAGCGTCTCTTCGCATCGGAGGTCATACATATTGACAGGGTCCTCTGGAGCATTCTATCCAGCTCTCGCAAGTCCACAGCGAACGCGGATCTTTGGCCATCAGTGATATCTTCGGATGCAAAGAGACACGCTGTACGAACCGAAAGAAGCTTCCCTAATCCATCATCCTGATCATTCTGGATCGTCTGGATCTGTCTCCTCTCGCTCCCTACGTGTTGCATCCACCCCCTGTGGTCCATCATTCATCCTCGACGCCCACTTCAGTTGCACGGCGTGTTTCGGCCACAGAAAGGTATCGTCAACAGGTCCAGCGACGCCCGCCCTGTCGCTCGCCCACTGGGGCCTTGCAAGTACAAGATCCGTGAATTGCTTCAGCTCTTCGACAGTAGGGCGTTGGCTGGGGTCGGAATGCAAACATGCTTTGACCCAATTACGCAACTCGTTGCTGTATAATGCCACGACCAGGTCGTTGAATTCGTGCTCTCTGGGATTCACTCCTGGTAAGAACGTTGGTTGTAGCATCGAATACCTCTGTTCCATCAACGCATAAAGCACCATTCCCATCCCATATACGTTACAAGGCGAGAGGATCTTTCTTGCCTACAGTCGAACAGATCAGTCAGCACCTTGTCTTTGGCATCCACGGGGTAGGAAATACGAACATCTACAGGCTGGCCCGTCTCACTATCGATGTACTGGATCTGTTCTGACGCAAAATACCCGGATGTTCCCCCTCCAACCTGACACCAAGGATTGGTGGGATCATCGCTCGACGTCACAACAGCCAGACCAAAGTCGCCCACTCTGTATCAGAAGCTGGTCAGCAATGTCCGGAAAAGGGAAGCAAGTCATACATACTGTGGAGTGGGCCAGTGCGTAAATTCCGTCTCGGAGGCTGCTCCCAAGAATATGTTCTCGGGCYTCCAGTCCAGATGCACGATTTCAGACCACGGACTCAATGCAGCAGTCTCACTTCCCTGCTTCATTGCCAGGGAAGCATTGGCGAAGCCCTGCATACAAAGCCATATGAATCCCTCGGGAATCGGCTCTTTCTCTTTTTGGTGTACCTTGATGGCTGTTTCGAGATCTCCTTCGGGCGAATATTCCATCATGATTCGGAATCTACCATATATGAAGTCGACATGGGGTCGTCCAACTACCCGGACGACGTTTCTCTTCGATCCCTCACTGACAAGCTTCTGAGTATGATACTCCAGCGGTACCTAAAAGCAGAAAGCAAAAGAATCAGCGGTGTCTCAACAATCGGGGCGGGCAAARCAAGATCTCAGATCTCCTAGCAGTCCACAGACGCGTAGAGGTCTCGTCGTTGGCATTGTCTTTCAATGTCTGCGTGAGATGCCTTTTGCTCCTCCGCGTACTTACACACTGGGTTTGCCAATCATCTGCCATGACATCACCGTGCCAATGAGAGGCCGATCGAAAGCTGTTCGGGTTGTCATCTTCGTACGAGTCCTTCATCACAATCCGTTGAACCACCGTGCCGTTCGCGGACCTTTTCGTGAAAAGCACTGCGCTACCCATGCCACCTGCTCCCAGATGGTCACCATGCCAAGTTCCCCCCGGTTCCTGCGGCAATTTTGCCAGCGCCTGCTGTTCGTTTGCCCACGCTCGCTGGGTCACCGCTGATGCCGGGGGAAGTACTTGCCTAAACCATACCTTCATCATTCCATTTGGAATATCATATTTGGCCTTGATCTTATTTCCTGCTCGAGCCACCTGGGTCGGGGCTAGACACATTGTTTTATCAGGTACCACCTCCGCAATGCGTGTGTTTTCCCATTGTCTTCGTCGGTGTACACATTCTACGAACTGGCCCAACTCATGCACCTGGGCGTATTCCGAGCGGACCCGCATGTAGTTTTGCGCAATATGGGTGCGACATCTGTCGATCATGAGGGTGTGGTGATCTCTGAGATCTCTGCAGGCCTGCCTATAGCGGTCGATATTGGACAAATTTTTCTGGGTCTGTATTTGTCGCATTTCGGGTGTCAGCGAGTCCCAGAATTGACCTGTCAGGACCCATTCATGGATCCGGGTCTCATCAGCCTCGTTTCTCCTGTCTTCGAGCYCTTTGCCTGTTATGATGAGTGCGTGTAGCTCGAGAGCGAAGGGTCTGGTGATCTGAGCGCCTTCATCCCTTGTTCGTTGTGTAATGACTTCTAGATTCGTGAGTTAGAAATATATGTTTGGTCTGGGCAGTTGGATGTTTTCCGGGGTTTTTTTCTTTTGGCTTACTTACCTACAGGTCGCCGATGTGACCCATCTTCATTCCTGAGACTGTCCACACAGAAGTTGACCATGCCAGCCATGATTGCGGCGTCGGTTGGAACGGCCATTGTAGCGTATATACTCCGAGCCAGTTGAGGTGTATAGTACAAGGTACGGAAAGGCGACTGGGCAGATCTCTGTTCCATTACCACTCACTCGATGGTGTCCGGAAACAGCTTCAAAGGTCTTTGTGCTGAAGCCATCCTTTGTTGTGATTCGAAACCCAAAACCCCATCTTTGTGGAGACATTCGAGGGCGGTTCTAACCCGTTCACTCTTTGTTTGAGCCTCTACCAGAGTAGACCAAGAGCCGATGACATTGTAGGACGTTGCCCTGTRTGGTATAATCGAAGACATTGTTCTTTCTCCAAGTACGACAGCATGATTAAGGAGAAGCCACTCGACAAGAAATGCTGATATCAGTGGTTATATCTTAATGTCCGCGAGCAAAGTAGTTTCTTAAGCACGAAGAGAGCCAGCAAGCTTCAGTCTCCCCAGTCCTCGCACGTGGGGGATTTCTCACACCCCCTTGAGTAACTAAACAGGGTACATGTCCAAAAACTCATGATATAGTTGAATGTAAGATTCCATAAGACGAGTTAGACCGCCCATTGATCCAGCCCATTCTAGCTCGTCGGCGTTACCTCCTCGAAAGCACAAAGCAACCGAGCATAACATATGATAAAGCCGTCCGATTTGAGATTCCTTCAGTAGGTGCTCTACGGTGTCGTTCTCGGTAAGCTTCTCTCCCAAAGCTTGGAGCTCTTGTAGATAAGAAGCACAGAACGAGCGTTGTTCGTCGAGATCGGGCGGCGAAATACCCGACAAATTACTCTCTGAATCATCCCAACAGTATTGTCGCTCGTTGAAGTGACCGCCGATATCGATCCCTCGATAGCTGTATGCAGCCGTCTCGTAGTCGATGAGCATGACCTGGCAGTCATCACTGGGAGAGGTTTTGACCAGGATGTTGAGGTAGTTTGCGTCTCCGATGGTGAGCGTCGGCTTACACTCACGCAAGACGAAGAATTTTGTGACCCACTCCAAATCTTTGGCCCAGGTCCAGTCGGTGGAGCGGATCATCTTCCTGAGATTTCGTGCTTCTTGATTGTCGCTCATTCGCTTGAGTCCCTTCTCCAATACTTTCTGCTTCGCCATGCTCTCCATCATCTCAGACACGGCGTTTTTGTGAGTTTGCTTTGCAAAGGGGAGTTGGAGGGTGTGTAGGCGTGCATAGCTCCGGGCAACGTCTTGCCGGATCTTTGCATTCATCGACTCCGCTGCGGTCAAGGTGTGTGAGTCGATGAACTCCTCTACTCGTCCGCCTGGGAATACGCCGTATAGTTTTGGACCCCAGCCTCTTCTGCCCATCTCATAACACATGATGGCTTGTTCTGCAGCTGAAAGACTGGCGTCTGYGGTAGATGGCTCCTCGTTGTCCTCGTCATCGTTTTGACCAAATTGTCGGATGAGAAGAGCTGCCGGTTCATTGACTGCAAGGTTGCTTCGACTCAGGAGGTGAAGAGTGTTGACAAAGCCGCCTCGGATTGGTCGTATGCTGACCAATTCCTCATCTGTAAGAGGCCATTCTGTTTCAAAGAAAGGAGAGACAAGTTGTAGGGCCTTGTGGACTGTGAGTTCCTTGTCGGAGGACTGCATCTTGAAGTGGCTTGGAAAGTTTGAAGCATTATGTTGTGGCCGTGGGACAGGCCTGATGTACTAATAATGTTAAGGTGGTCTTGTTGTTAGATGACTCATGAGCAGGATAGGATGTACTTTATCTGTGGAGATGACTCAATTGCGCTCATGCCTAGCATAGCCAAGCAATGGGCGAAGCAATGAAGGAAAGCTTATTAGCAAGACGATTGAAGCGGTTGACTAGTAACTGTAAAAGCGGGGTTCAACAACAACATCAGAGATGAAAAGGTTGTGATAATGTCTGGTGTACAGGTGGATGTAATGTGTCGCGTTCTGGAATGAAGTAAGAACAGCTGTTATGCACAGTCACAGTCCACCACTCCTTCTCTATCAGGTAAAGAATTTCAAGCCATTTCGAGGGGGGATTTGGTGATGACGCAGAAGCAAGTTGGTGGCATGCCGATGAACCGTGTGGCGATGTGGTCAGCCGATCTGACATTTCAACATTGCCGCGAACAACTTCGTTGCGACATCACCAATATTGAAACATGAGAAAAGTCCTCTCTGTGTAAAACAGCATCAAATTCAGACATGTCGATGGAACAGTGGGCAGTGCCTCGGCTTTCGCTGCTCCTGCCGTTAGAGGAAGGCCATCTCAAAGAGGTCGTCTCGTACACAAACACTTTATCGGACGAAGAAGCAGCAAAACATCTTTCTCAGTTGCTTGGAGATTCGGGTCCAGCAGCGAGTTTAATCGAAGAGTTCATACAGAGGCGAAAAGAACAGCCCGACGGAACTTCATTGGATTTCAAACCCAGCACATCTGCTTTGCCGCAATGTCCCCCTTCAATCCGTTCAGGGCATTCTGATGAGGTGAAGACGAGCCATATCGCGAAGAATGGCCAGTCTCCAGCACCGCCGGCCTATACCCCAACAGGCGCACTCACAGAAAGGCAAAACGTTGCGTCCGGATACAGACACACAAACCCAGTCATCGAAGCAGCTCAACTACGGGCAGTGGACGAACAGGAAATGCAGCAAGCCCTTCAGACTCTCCAATATCAATATGGAATCTATAACACTGAGATTGAACCAGAACACGACACAGACAACTACTGCGCCTGTCCGATCCACCAGTACCTGCGTATGAAGCGAGGTAGATATCGTGTACAGGAGAAGTGGAGCAAAGCCGTCATGTATCCCGGAGAGAAAGCGTATAACGACGGATGGACGACCAATGGCGCGACCGGACTTTTCAGCAGTAACCCGTATGCCAATCGTGTGGTCTCTCCTTTTGGGTACAGCTATTCTCGACAATATCTCTGGGGACCGCAGCGGCCAGTTCCCAGCTATCATGCTCGCTCGATTCACCAAACGATTGAGCTGAATAACATGTTCAATCAGCAAGCACAGGCAAATGTGGCAGCACAAGAACCGAAGCATAGTGTTTGGGATGATGAAGAAGCCTTGGAAAAGGCCATGGCCAATCTCACAATGACTAGCAGCATTCCGAGGTCCGAGAAGCCAGGCAGTCGTTCAGCAAAAGACACTCCGACAGAGAAGCCCAAACCATCAAGAATGGCGAGCTTTCGTCGGTCCATTGGCATCAAATCTGCAGATGAGAAAGCAGTCGGCAAAGTTTTGAAGTCAGTAGGGAAGGGAAAGTCTTTGAGAGATCAAATTCTGGCCGAAGAACAAGGCAGATGGCCTGATGATCAATGGCGACAGCTTGTGAACGTGTACCAAGAAAAAGTGGGAATGATACGAATGATCGCTGATCTCAGAGCACGGTGTCCCATCCAGTACTTGCACCTACTGCGTGCGGGTTACTTTGAGCCCATCCCTGTAGCATGGGCAGATCAGGCGTCCAATCCTCTGAAATTCAGCATTGAAGCTGCGGCTGGATGGAGAGGCATCACACCTGCATGGCGTGGATATGAGGACACTGCCGAAGAGAGATTGTATTGGGTATTGAACCACCGAGAAGGGAGTGTTGGCATGAGAATGAAACCAGGTATGTCAAGCAATCTATTTACTTGAAGAGTTCATACGCTGATACCATTGCAGACTTTATCTCAGAGGTACGTTCATCGCCATGATTGATATGTATCTGAGCTTGCCGTACCGGAAAGAGTTTATAACATCTTTGCTGACTTTCTGTAGATGAACATGGCGAGAGCGAGAATGGCAACGGCTGTTGAACCGCCGCCAATGTACTTCTCACCAAACGATACTTGCCACCTCCAGCATACATCATCCGGATACTCCAAACAGGTGATGCCATCTCTATTCAAGCCATTTGACCAGCCCGAAAAGCCCACAGATGACACCATGATCCTTTTAGATGTCTCCGGTTCCATGGATTTCGTGCCTGTGAGGCCATTATACGATCAGTATCTKATCACTGACTATGTCAAGTCCCACCAGCCAAAGAACAAAGGTAGAGTATCGGAATCATAATTGAAAAGCTGTACTAACGGTCCACCTAGATGTTGCCAAAGCCATCATCCGCCGCTTCACTGATGCCATGGAGAACCACGACCATCAGTTTTCGGGATATGACCTGACCACATTCTCCACTCACGCAAGCTACATAGGGACAATCAACCACCGTAACTTCGACCATATGTGGCAGAATGTCAAACTTGGAGGAGGAACACGGGTCATGACCGGATGGCAAAAGGTTAAGGATCTCCACTTCCGGAAACACGCAGAATCAGCCACTCACCACCCAGTATATGGCTGGCAGGCCGGTCCACAGACACCTATGCTCCGTCTTCTCCTACTGTTGGACGGCGAGGCAACCGACATGGATGAGTTTGAGCTTGATCTACTTGGATTGAGCTGGGCCCATGTAACCATCTTCTTGATCGGTGTGGATGGCTGTCCGCATCATCATCGACATGCCAATGAGCTGCAAAGGATCAGTGATGTGAATCATCATGTCAGTTTTGTGGATGCACAAGGGAATTGTCCAGAAAGGTTTGTAACGCATGAGTTGTTGAAGAGACATCTGGGGTATGAAGTGAGTATGCAGGAATTTGAAGCCATGGAAGAGTTGCCACCTTACGAGGCGTAATCGAATGCAATTGGATGTGAAAACGAACGCTTAGATTCATCTTCATCTAATTGGCTTCTCCCACCATTGTTTCCGTAAAGGTCATCCCGATTTTGTACAAGTCCTCTTTGGTCTCTAGAGGCGCTGGATCGGCCGACAGTGGATTCTTCTCGAGATACCTCCGGATCTCGTCTCGAATGTTCTCATTCGTGGGACGAGCGGTAGGTTCGTACTCCAGACAATTTAAGACCAGCTCACGTAGATCTGACGAGTATGCTCCTTCCACACCTGTATCAAACCACTTATACACTTCTGGGCCCTTTTCGTATTTTGGGCGATACTCTGCTTCGTCAAATTCCCCACGTTTGTTGACTCGCTTGCCTCTCATTATCCGTGCCAGAGTAGCACCCACTGCCCAAATCTTTGATAAGGCGTGTAAGTATGTCACTACTTCAGGGGATGAGACGACGGATACTTACATTGGTCCAAGCGAGCTGTTTGGCGAGAGGCTGAGGATCAAACGTCTTTATGTTGAAACGCAAGACTTGCTCAGGGGCCTTGTATCCTTCTGTTCCAAAGTCGTCGCCATAGAAGAGAGGATTCAATTCATCGTCTTCACTGGTTATGAGGCCCATACCAAAGTCTCCCTGGAAAGAGTAAGTAGTGGAATTCAAGGGGAGTTTTCGCTGTACTTACGAGAACACAACGAGGGTATACTTCACCATTGCCCGGGACATCAAGAAAGATATTATCAGTCTTCAAGTCTGGTTATGGTCAGCTCTCATCAGCATGCGCTACAGAATCAAAAATGGAGATACGCACCACGATGAACAATCTGACGCCATTCATCAGGCCGAGTCGTCTCGTCTGCACTTCCGTACTCCATCACCAAACATGCTTGATTCAATTGTTGGAAGAYGCTCCAGATGGCGGCCTCTGGTACGTACTTGTGTGGGGCGGCTGTAGCGGTGGCCGATGCGTTTCTACCTCTTCTTGGAATGGTCAATCTAATCGTCGCCGCCGGGTACAAGTTTCGCACAGCTTCCAGGTCTCCTTGCCCAGCGTAGGACATGTATAGCCTGAAACTCCGCTTCTCGGGATACACGATGAAGTGTCGCAGCTGAACGAGCACTTCTGATCCGGGTACATTTTTGGTAAGATCCATGCACTTAATTTCGACCGGTAGTCGTGTGGTTGGGTCTCGCACATCTCCCCACCAGAAGCTGACTTCTGACCACTGGGTGTCGGCCCATGCTTGAAGTGTATGTTAGCTAGTGAGACAGACTGGTGGCGGTTGAGAAGGAGACCTACAATCTTTGACGACGAGTCTCTGGGTGATTCTGTCTGCTTTGTCCAACTCCAGGTAGAGATGGGCATGACCATAGGCTCCGCCGCCCAAGTATTGCTGTCCCTTCCAATGTCTGCCCTCAAAGTCCGCCAGTACAGCAGCTGCAGCAAGTTTTCGTCGGTCTTTCGCAAGCTCCCTATCTACCGTTTGCGCAATCTTTGTCGGCGGGCCAGCTACAGGGTTATTGGCGTCCCCTCCAGCAGGCGCAGCGACGGCAACACCAGCCAAATTTTGACGGCTCAGTACCGCGGCCGCTGCTTTCGCAGCCGCATTTCCGAGCTGCTGCCACTCCTTTTCGCCCAACTTTGCAGCAGCATTTGCGCTCTCGCCAGCATTAGTGTGAAACCTGGTCCTGTCTCTAATAAAAGCCTGCTTATCAGTCAGTAGGGCGACTGGCGTTGCTGCTGTTGCCGCCTTCCGCTTGGGTGCCATCGTATCAGTGGTGATGGGTATTGGGAATGCCAAATGCCCAGCTCCGTTTCCAAGTGGAGCATTGGAGCGCACAGTACTGAATCCTTTGTTTTATAAAATCGGAATGTCCAAGACTGTATTTGCCGGAAGGGCGTTGCATTTCTTTCWTCGCCGCTTGCCTTTGGAACAAAGCGTCGCTCGACAAGTTCTCGACCTCGCGTACCACATTTCACGACATCAACCTCCTCTACTGACTCGAATTTCTTCCAGCACCTTCCACAACTCAGCCCAACACTCATCCTTTGCAGTTTTCTTACCGAAGACATTGTATACTGGAGCCACGGCTCCAGCAAGCTTCGGCTCATATCGAATGTCTTGAGGAGTAAAGGTTGCATGGACGTTGTAGAATGAACCAGATAGGGGTGTGAGCTCAAAGGTCGGGTTTGTGAAGCCGAGTCGCAGACACAAGTCTTGTACCCGCTTACCGATAGGCGCGCTCTGCACAATATCCCCGCCAGTGWTATCCATGGCATCGGAAAAGTCCGGTGTAAGTCCCGTGGTATGAGCTGGGAGCGTTGCTTCAGCGCCGCCAGACGCGGAGGATTTTCTACGTTTACTTGTCGCACCGACCGCGAGCTGACCCTGGTGGCGGAGCCAAAGCACTGCCTCCATGGCTGCGTTCTTCTTCGCATCTGCCTTTTTCTTGAACGGGCCCGATGTGCAGCCAAACCCATTTGGTGGGCTGCCTGCGAAGTGCACAGCACAAGAGAATGGTCCATGTGATGGATGCGGGCCGGTTTCGTTGTAGACAGGATATGCGATTTTGCTATGCTGGCAGTGTTCTGCATATGTCAGTCAACTCGATGGCAAGAAAGAAGAACCGCAACATACCGACCAATGTGCCCACCCAGTTCTCCTCTTTAAGAGTTTCTGGTKCGCCAGGGAGCTCTTCCTTAAGAYCCATGCTTTTGCGCTTCAAACGACCTCCCATCTGGAGTAGATTGGGATATGTGACTTTGCAAAGCTCCTCCTTTGCGTCTTTCTTGTTAGCAAACAAGCCCACCTCGCCGACCAGCTCGTCATCGATTTGGAGAGCGGCAGAGAAGCAGCCCTTTTTCGGCTCTTTGTACGTGATGACGGGCACAAGTCTCTTTTGCTGACAGAGCGTGTTCATCTTTGAAACATGTTCGCCGTCGTTGTGTGGTAGCGCACGAATGACGGGCTGCGACTTCTGCAACTCGGCACGTTTAAGGTCTGCTTTATCTGGGAATGCTTCAAGCTTTGGAATGGACGCTTTGCATGCAGCCTCTTTGGCAGCTCTCTTGGAGGCATACGGTCCAGCCTGCTCAAGAGGCTGGTTGTCAACGTGTGCAGTTGCGAGGAAAGATCCCTGGCTAGGCTCAACATATGTGAAGAACGGGGTCAATCCTTTTGCCTGGCATTTCGTGTTGAATATGTCAGCATGTACAYCATCRCTCGGAGAAGTCGTGATGTTGACCATCTTCGCTGGCGGTGGAACATATGGATGGGCTTGTTCGAAGTCATCCATGGACATCATGTCCAGACCGTCTACGTGAGGTGGCGGTAAGGGATCCATTCGAGCGGTTGAGATGAATTCTGCTGTAGCTGCGGTACCCTGATCCTCTACGGAGGAGATGGTACTAGAGTTTCTTACACGGTAAGACGCCGTGTCTTCTCGCGCGCAATGTTTGTAGGAATGAAGGCCGGGGGAGCTCGTGTCTTCTACAGGAGCTTGGGCCAGCTCTTGGCAGCTGTTCTTTTCGGCATTGATCCGGGAGAGCTTCTTCTCCTCTTCAGCATCAACATCGACATCGCGGTTACCATACGCCGCAGACTTCGCAGACCTGAAATGATGGACTGGCTTGTTGCGTTGTGGAACTGGATGAATGATGCGTCTCGGCGCCTCTGCGGCGCTGAGCGATGCTCCCTCTTGGACAATTGAGGCGTGTAGCGAGAGACGTGGACTTGGAAGCTCTTCTTGATGTTGCTGTAGTGCCAGAGTCTCCATGACTGAAGGCAGTGTGGAAAGAGGCACAAGCTTGCCATTGCTCCAGGTAAGCAACGAGTTCATCAGCTGTTCCATGATGGATTCCGTGWCTGAAACTATCGGCCTGGTACTTTGAGTATGTCACAATGAATGTTCTTTGCCGCTCATCAAGAGGTGGAGACGGACGACGTATGGTGGCAGTGCGAGCAATATGGGCCAGGAGATGAAGTGAGGTGAAGAAAGGACTGAACTACTTTACCTTACCTTAGCGCCTAGCTTGACTTCACCTACATTATAGGCAAGAAGGGAGCCGCCCAGTGTACCACGTCGCCGAACTCTGCGTCAGTGGGGGATCAGCTGTATGGAAAACTCTCCATCATCACCCAGCAATCAATTGCGAGTCTCAGAGCAGTAACGTCGCGGTGGAAGAGCTTGTCAAGGTGCTGGAAGAAGCGACCCGCAAATGGCAAGAACATCCATGGAACCTGACAAAGTCGGAGCATGCTTACGAACGTAATGGAGGATCTTTGTGCATTGCCATCATCCGGTCTGCGAGGTTTCCTTTTCGCAGGCGGAGGCGAGTCTCTGCTCAGAGAAAGGATGCACCATCATCCACGGGCTGCGTCGTAAAAACACTGGACAGGCAATCATGTTCCGATTGTCTTGGACAAACAAGAAGATTCCAGTACTGCAGGCTCATCATCCTTTGTTAGCGTGGATACAAAAGCTGGACAATGTCTTCCCTCAGCCTGCTCTTTTCCATCGCAGCATCGACCGCATTACACTGCATCTACAGAATGCTAGGTCTCGACTCGGACGACCCAGCATTGGCCTGGATCACCAAAAATTTCACCGCCGAAGGTGCATTCCTCACCAAGTACAAACTCAAGCTCCATGACGACGAAGATCAAATCGTCGGAATCCGCATTGCGAGAACTATGGCAGCAGACGAGGCTGCCTCCTACCCACTCACCCAATACTGGCTACCCGAAGAACACCAATACATCGCAAGGTACTGGCGCCATCATGTCCACTTCATGCAAGCCCACAATCTTTGTCCCTGGAATCGATATGACTGTGAAAAGGCCGTCAAACTCGCAAAGCAACTTCGTCTTGAGCAAGAAAACCGTGATGATCCCGTGGGTAACGATTTGGCCTGGTTCGACAAGATGCTTAAAGCCAAGACCAGGCTATCCTGGCGCGAGCTCCTTCTTCATGGTCGTTCCTGGAAGTCGATCTACACTTATCTCCCCGAAGATCTGGCCTTGGAACGCAAACTCACGTCTCTTAGACAAGCCCTACACATAGAGTACGACGGTACCGGACTCCACGACTATCCAAACACGAAGTTCTGGGAGGATAAGCTGCTGGACAGTCCGATGGGGTGCACTTTCCGCGAGTTCCTGGACGGAAGGAAGGTTCTAAAGACGGAATTCGAGGTCACTTGGGGCGAAATGCTGCTTTACGGGGCGGATGCCCTGAGGGGAGTCATGGACACGTTGGACCGGGTAGTTGCAAATAAGGCATTGGGAATCATCATGAATGACATTGATGAAGATGGTGCAATTTGATGCGAATAAGAGGAGAGGATGGGAGTGAAGTCCAGTGGGAGGAACGGTTGGAGCAAGGGCTAGTGACATTGGAGGTTGCCTCCCTATCTTTTGCAATCAAAGACGTCGTTCTTTCTACGAGATACTACGAGAAAGATAGCACGATAGAGAAGACACTACTCAATAATATCATCAGCTATGTGATACTGCTTGTTTTCGTCGTAAGTATAAGGAGCGCCGACAAGCTTTAATTTTCTCTGACCTCGGRGATTGGAGATACGCAGTCAAACCTTGGATTCTGGAACATGGGATCGTGGTCTGTACTAAGTTAATACTTGAAGTCAGACCATCTCCACCCTTTTCTCCCTCCCCATAACTTCTCCTACCATCGAACACATCATGCCGCCCAAAGGAAAAGCATATCAGACCGACTGGCTCTGCTCTGCAACATCGAACGTCCACATTGCAAATCACAAAGGCTGGTTCACCACATTTACGGCATTTACAGGCCCGCTGGACTCCATCCATCTAGGCCCGAGCTCTGCAGGAGGGGAGGTCCACGGAATCGGAGACGTGGAATTGGAAGTCACAAAAGCTCTGGATCAAGGGCGGATCTTCACCAAGAAGATCATCTTACATGACGTGTTATATGTCCCGACTTTCATCGCCAATATCTTCGGACAACTTGCAGGAACGGGTTACCGGACGGGTGGTTTGAAGTTCCGGAAAGTGGTTGAGCGGACGACGGGAAAGAGTGTTGGTAAAATTGATGAAAAGGCTGTTCTTCCTAGATTGTGGCTCAAGAAGCAGCAGGTGGGACGTTCTAGCTTGGATCCAAACATGAGGTACTGCATTAATGCGTGGTGGTCTGAAGAGGAACGTGCCCGTTGGAGTGCCCATCGATTGACTTGCCAGTCTACATATACGCCCGAGGAAAAGGCGTGGTTGAAGAAGAACTTTYGTGGGGAATATCGTTTCTTGCGAGGACAGAGATTGAGTATCTATAAAGATGTCGATCGGGAAGAGGGCAGGAAGATTGTGAGGCAGATGATGGCTGACGATGTTGATAGAGAAGCCGGAGGAGAGTAGATCTGCGTACGACTTCAAAACCTTGAGGCTAGTTATCTATTGGTGAACGCAGCAAGGTCCAATGCTACGGATGAACAAGGTCCTTCTCCCGAAAACTCACGAAGGACAGGGATGAGCTGGAGAGATAGTCCCAAGTCTCGAACCATGATCCCGGCTTTTGTTTTTGTTATGAAAAGCTAGGAGGCTCAATCCGGATGTATTCCCCGCAGCATCTTTGACACGAAGTTTCCTCCTCTTTCTCGGATTCAATTGTGTTCGGATCGGTAAAGACCATGGGGAAGCGATACACCGAAGAACAGATTGCTTGGCTGAAAGACAACTATGGAGATGAGTGGCACTTTTTGCAATCTTATCTGTTGAGTATGTTCGATGAGGATGATCGGGACGAAGGAAAAGCAATTGTTGAGGCCTTGATGGCTGGGGAGAACGCCCTGGGAAGACTGGAAGCTCGCAGGAAGATCACGAACGATGCGTGGTGGTCCAACAAGCTGCACAATGCATCCCCATCACCCTCTCCGGAATGTTTCGTGGAAAGTCCAGTGGATATAACGCTGGGAGAACTACTGCTGTACGGCGATGGAATATCCCGTTCCATCTATCAAGACTACTTGCATATCAAAGAGAACAAGACGACACCTGAAGCGTTCCAGAATCGCGAGCGAGATTCCGAGGAGGCATGCGACTTTGCTCTTGATCTCYTCTTCTCCGCCAAACCACAACTCACCTGGGGCGAGGCTCTTTCCAACCTACAGTACGCTCGTGGTGCACGACCTACTGTTGGACGTTTAGGGAGGGCCTTTGAGGCGTACGAGAKGGAGCATACAGTACTGGTGGACCGCAGTTACTGGCTAGACAAAGTTATCCAAAGTCGAAACAAGCTCCGGGTCGGAGACTTGATCCACGTGCTGGATAGTGCGGCTTTCGAAAAGCTTTCGCAAAAGCTATGGAGCGAACCTGAAGCGAAGATGAAGCTTGAGGCTTTGCGGGTGGAGAATCAGATGGGGATTTATCAAGATATATGGGATGCGCTGGATGAAGCAGTGAAAGAATGAGCCGTTCTCCCAAGGCATGGATGACCGGCAATTCACAGTCGGTAGGGGTTTTAAGCATTACTGCAGTGTCCGCGATAAGAGATCGTAATCAGGAAGAGAATAGTGTTGATTTGGCAAACAGCAGCAGGGGCTGGATGTTGCCTTGCACAAGCGATGGGTCTGTTTGCATGTATTAAGTAACGACTGATCCCTCTGTTCGCTAGATTACTGCTGCTATTTAAGATATGGTGCTTGCACGRTTGGAAACCTGACTCGCATTCATTGATCAAGACTCAAGGTTGTAATGCAGCAATCATGCCGACCTCTATCAACTGCATTCTCGTTCTTTGCCACCTCCTAAAATCCCTTCACTACCAGCTTCAAAAACCTCCCCTCGTAACAACGGATAGTCCTCGTAATTAGAAATGCCCCTCCTCCCAATTCCAGCCTCTAAAAACCCCTGGATCTGTTCTCGATCCCTCAACACCCACCTCACGTTYGGGATGAGTATTTATGACCATAATGAGAGGGAAAGGGGAAAGGGATTTCTGGCGGAGGCGGTGAAGCTTGGGGTTCGTAAGCCTCGGTATGAGCAGTTGGGTTCATGAGGGATATGAAGAGGAATGAAGAGAACTCTCTCCCTGGAGTGGCAAGACTGTCTTCATTCATGCAGGCCATGCTCCTGTGGTGCGCTTTCTGTGGATATGCGATTGTCCTACAACGTCGCGTGTGACAATGGACAGATAACATGATTTCGAGGAAAGGGTTGAAGTTCGTCTCGTCGTAATTCGTCCAAATTGCAGTCATCAAAGATCAAACTCTTCGCTCGATCCGATCATCGCGGCGCTCCCCGTGAAATCCATCATCTTCACTCCGTTCCCTCCCAATGCTGATCTCCCCTCTTCCATAATACCATCTCTCCAGCAAAGCAGGTGTCTTTAAACCCCAAAACCATACCAAGCCCGCCGCGAACCCTACGGCATCATTCTTGAAAGCCAAACAACCGGCAACAGTAATCAACATGACGATCCATCTCTCCCCTCTCTCCTTCTCCACCGCTTCTTTCTCTTCACTGGTAATGATGCAGGTGCCGTTGACATCTTCCTCTGCCTGCTCCCAGAGATCCGTCGCATCTCCTACACTCTGACCTACTTTGGCCAATTCCACACCCGCGGCGAGGACCATGATTCCGAGCAATCCTTTTGGAAAACGCTGCAGTAAGGGAATGATGGCTTCGCCGGCAAACAAGCCGAGAAGAAGTTTAATAATTCCGAGGATGATGATTGAAGAACCTGAGCGAGCCCCGAAGCGGTATTGAGCTGCCAGGCCACCGGATCCATGGCAGATGGGCATGGCGCCGAACCAGCAGCCTATGAGGTTGAAGATTGCTACGGAAAGACCTATGTGGGTTGTTGAGGGAGTTGCAGGGGTGTTGGGGAAGAGGGAGGCAGCGAGGGATGTCACTGCCAGGACACTATTGAGGGTTGTGAGGGGAAGCTGAGGGAGAGCGGCTTCGATGGCGCCAGTTTTCCAGGCTGACGAGGAGGGGATGGCGAAATGTGGATACCAGAATGCGGAATGAAGGGAGGGAGAGGAGGGAGGATGGATTGCAGCAGCGGCGAGGACCAATCCGAACGCAAAGACCAACAAGGCATATGGGACTTGACGATAGATTGAGGCAATGAGAAGGAAGATGAAAGTCGCAATGGCCCAGAGTCGATTATCCAACGTTGGGAATGTCCATGCCAAAGGTTTAATGAGGGAGGTGCCGGCGCTGATGACCAGACTCAGTCCCGCTCCGACTTGGATTCCCTTGACGACGGCCACCGGCACCACTCGATGCAGCCAGCCGAGCAATCCCGTAATGCTGAGGATCAAGACGGCGAAGCCCATCGTTAGTCCTGCTGCAGACACGTCTTCTCGCGTGAGATTTTGGGAAATGGCGATGGCTGCTATGGCCTTCATGGGTTGCACCGGAAGGGGGATGCCGAAGAAGATGCCGGTGAGGATATTGGCCAGGCCGGAGAAAACGAGAGTGGAGGGGAGGGAGATGGAATGCTGGACCGTCAAGGCGATCATCAGAGGAAGGAGGGTGCCAAGATCTCCCAGGGAGCCCGAGAGCTCGGAGAGGGGAGCGGAGCGGAAGGTGGCGACATTGTGCTGGTGGACATGGCGGAGGTGAGAGAGGAGGGGCATTCTTTCTTGGGTGGAGGAGAAGGAGATGGAGATGGAGGGAGGTTTCATGCCATATCAGATCGGTGGGGTGCATGCAGTCTTGTGATTGATCCATATCCAATCTGATTGTCACATGTCAATACCGCCCATGTCATTGCCGACATCGGACTCCACTCGCCGTTCCGTCCCACGACTTTCCCGCACTCCACGCGTAAGGAACCTTCCGTCGCGCCTTTGGTCGCGTCTCCCAGAACTGGGAGCGGCTTCACTGTCCTCGTAAATTGACAATCCACGGCAGGTCTAACATGCCATCGCTCATCGCCGCCAGTATGCCGCTCTCTCCGCCCCGCTCTCCACCTCGCTTTCCACCTCAATCTCCGCCCCGCCGAAAAGCCTCCCGTCCACTCCTCCCACTCCCCGAAGCAGCGCTGTTCCACAACACGAATTTCCTGGAAGAATGCCTTTTCGAACCGGCATTCACCAATATCACTTCTTGTCTCACCTCAGGTCTTAGTACTGGGAGTCCGGCATATGTACCCACTCCCGCTGTGATCAGTCTGGCGGCGACGATCRGTGTGCATCCCAATTATACCACGAGAACAGCGGACAAAGACCGACATCGAGAGGCGGCGTTGGCGGCGAGGTTCTTGAGATGCGTGGTGGATGTGGTGGATGGGGAAGTCATGTTGCGGGAGGCATTCGCTTTCAAGAGGGAGGAAGGGAGGGGAAATGGAAGGGCAAGTAGGAAGCGGGACTCGGGCATCGGTGGGGATGGAGAGCGGGCGTTGGCGGGCAGATATGCGGGTCCGCAGAGTCTGTGGGCGTGCGCCGCCGACTTCTGGGCGGTGGTCGGATGGGCGATGAACTGTAGCGTCCGACATGCCGGGAGGTGGGAGAGATGGAGGGGATTGTTGGAGGTGGTGTTGGATGTGTTGGAGAGGGATTGGGCGAGGAGTGTCGAGGCGGGAGAGGTCAAGGATTGTCTGTTGCTGAAATATCTGCAGACTATGGGTGGCGGGCGGAATGATCGGCGAAGGATGATGAGAGCTATTTTGGCGGATGGGAGCGAGAAGAGTGTGGGCGAGTTTGGACAGGTGTGGAGGGAGGAGACCAGAGGGCCCAAGGCGGAAGACGAGAATCTTCTTCGGGGCAAGAATAAAAGGAAGTTGGATCTTGAAAACGGCGAGTATGGAGACTACTGGGACGATGATTCCGCCAACGAGCACGACAACCCCACAACATCCACTTCCACCCGCACATGCCGTACCAAGGCACAAAAGGCTTCCTCGGCAGGCTCCAGCGATGCTTCATCCTCGTCGACAACACACGCACCGACTGGCACCATTGAGTCCTTCGGCGGCTACCACTCCCTTCGTCTCCGTCAACGCCTTCTTTCCCTGCTCGCCACCTGCTCCCATACTTCTCCCAAACTCTTCGGAGCGGATCTCTCCGATCTCTGGTCCCYCTACACCGAGTTCCTTCGACCACTTCCCCTGCCCGTCTTCCAGCAATTCATCTCGCCTCAGAAAGCGTATTGGAGTCCAGCCTGGCAGGCCAGTCTCTGCGAGATGATGTCTCGCTCTCTCCTCGGAATTTCGGGAAGTTATGGCCTGGTCACCCCAGAGAGCTTTCAGCGAGACATCGTCTCGGCGACGGCTAATAACAGTAGCGTCGTGGACAATGCCAAGGTGGGGGTACTCGTGGAGAGTCTGTTGAGGTTGTTGTGGATGCAAGGTTTCCTMCACGACGGCTGTGAAGGATTACCGGACGGGATTGAGGACGGGATTGCGAAAAGGGAAGTCAAGGCTAGTGGAAGGAAGAAGGGAGGAGGTGCTGATGACGAGGCGAGGGAGTGCTTGAGGCTGAGCGGGGAGAGGTTGAGGGTGCTGGGGAGTTTGATTTGTGGATAGTTTGTCTCATGTGGTGACAATCCTCCTCTCCATACGATAATGAGCAATACGATGACCCTCAATGACTACAATGTATAGGCCAACCGCGATTGGATACTGCTCGGCATTTTCAAGACCTTCGACCATAGATACATGAAAGAAAGCCATCCGGATACATTTGATGGTCTGCGGAAGTTAGCCGTGCCGAATAGTACAAGGCTTGACCCCCTACATGTACGATGACTCACACCTACTTTTAATGATCGAAGTAAGATATGGATTACGTGAAAGATGACTACTGCTACAGCTTCTTGCCTAGATCTAGCAAAGCCAGCTGTTCCTAACCGCCTCGTTATGAATCAGTCGGGCTTTAGAAGCCTCCTCACACAATCTTAGCAGTCCCGTTGGCCCGTTCACCATCAACCCCATCACCCTTGCAGTAGCGTGTCGTCTTGCAACCGTGACCGCCGGAAAAAGCAAGATCCAACCACTCTTTCATAAAGTCGACAGCTTCCGGTACATGTTTTTTGTAGTGATGATGAGCCTCTGTAAGTTCCAGGTCGGAATCTCCATCGCAGACTCCATCCCCTGGCTCGCAGATAGCGAGGACCTGACCGTCAAAGTTTGGAATGTCCCCTTGATATTGATCGGTGCGAGTGCTACCGTACATGGCAACGGCGAGAATTCTCGCCTTGACTGAAAACGCCAATCGACGGATAGCAGCGGTGATGACGGCGCCCCCTTGACTGTAGCCAGAGGCCACTACCCAACTCTTGGGACATTTCGAGTTTGCGAGATTGAAAAGGCGCATGGCTTCCTTCCATGCAAGTACGGTGGTTCCATCGTTGGCCCACATATTTCCGGTAATGTCGGCGTAGTATGKATCCCCAACACCCTGACAGGCGACCTCCGACTCGCCGTAGGCTAGCTTGAGTCCAGTACAGGTGTAAGGCCCAACGTCGCTCCAAGCACCCTGAAAAGTGTCAGTGTCCGTGCAGAAGAAAGTTTGCGGGAGAGGAAGTGGATGTCACCATGTTGCCAGGCTGTCTTGATCCACGCGCGTAGATCAGCGTGATGGGGCGGCATTCCCCCTCTACTAATTCATTGGAGTCGAAGTATAGGTCCTCAAGACCCGGATCCTCGAGCATGTTCCGTGGAGCCGCTACAGTCAAGGCTGCGAGCAAGGTGAGTAGTGCGAAGATCTTCATGGCTATAGGCAGAGTTCGTGTGATTGTGTCGGTTTTTCAAAAGCAGCCGTTTCTTTGGATGGGTGTATGAGATTTTTAAGAAGATGGAGGGAATCGGAAGGTAATAAGCAGGAGAAAGTGGGAGTGGGATTTTGGTGGAAAAATTGGCAAACTCTGTCTTGACACTCCGGCTGGTTCGGGAAGATATACTTATCTCAACTCATGGTTGAGCCCACTGTGAGCCAATGAGACGACACTGTGCGTAGAGGAGTCCAAATCATAATTCGTACTGCGGGCATACTCATCGCCCAAGAGCCGCAACTTCCGGGCCATCTTGCATGACTGTAGACACCATCTACAACTCAGATACCACCAAGCGCAGTGAMTCTACCACGAAGAAAGTTGACGGCCGTCGGTACATCGTCCAGGTAGCCCAAGTGTCCTGTCGCAAAAAAAGAATGGTTAGTGATATTGAGGATGAATCAACCAAGAGCAGAATTCGAATTACCAGGGGTGACGTCCAAACCGCCGTCACAAACGCCGTCATTAGCCGCACAGATGGACAAGACACGATCGTTCGGGTAGTTTGGAATCTTGCCATTCTCTTCATCTTGCCGAGTATTTCCGTAAAAGATGACACCTGCAAGGTTGGTCTGGCTGGCGGCAGGGAGACGGCGAACGGAGCCAGTGATGAGAGCAGCTCCTTGACTGTAACCGCCGGCAACGACTTTTGAACTTGGACACTTGGACCTTGCGAGGTTGAAGAGACGAATGCCCTCGTTGATGCCGTCCATTGGAGTTCCCTCTGGCGACAAGTTGCCAATGAGGGATGCACCGTATGGGCCTTGCGAGGGAGGTGTCAGCAGTTGCTCGGGGCTGTACCTGGGTATATCATCTCCCTCACCTCCTACACCTTGGCAAGCAACTCTGGTGCTGCCATAAGCCGACTTGAGTTGATTGCATGTCGCTGGGCCAACATTGTCTCCCTGAGCTTCATCAGCATTGACGAGAGCACACTAGACGACGCAACCTACAATGTTACCCGGCTGGGTTGAGCCACGGGCGAAGATGAGGATCAAAGGTCTGCAAGCTCCACTTTCAAGCTCATTGATGGTGCTTCCAGTTTGACGGGACTCAAGTATCTCGGTGGGAGCCGCTGCTGCTGCCGCAACAAGCAGAGAGGTAATGCCAAAGAACTTCATGATTGTGGACCGTGGTGGAGACGGAGAATGCTGGAAGGAGATGAATGAATCAGAGGTGGACTGATGGGCAGATGAACCGTCTACTTATGCAACATCCATGCGGGAAGAATTCGAACATCCTGTTCCCATCGAGGTACTGCATGCATCTCCCGTGACGAAGAGCGGAGATGCTCACATATCGGACCTCATCACCGCGTCTGCGTCTGATATTCGGTGGATATGCATTGGATCCACCCATTGGCAGATGGTGTATTGCAGTGCGTCTCCTTCCTATTCAAGGCAGGACTTTTCCGTGGAAATGTCCACGTGTTGGAAGTTTCGAAGTCGCAGGTGACCGCCAAGTCTTCCCCAAGGCCGTTGTTCRTCTCGTTGCTCGTTTAGTAGTTCGTTTAATAGGCGAGCTCCAGACGAGCTATGCTCGTGTGATCCAAAAACTTGGCAGGCAGAATTCCGTCTTAAGCGAAATCAGGTCGCAATAGCAATGGTCTGGAACGATTGCCTGGAAAAATTTCACGATGAGAGGAGAATTTTCCGCGTGGGATTGCATCTTATCAAATGCCGTTGATGAATCCATGATTTTTTCGCATTGCAGAGGCGAATGGAAGAAATCGGAAGAAGTCTAGACCACGTTGTAGTGATTTATACTATGTCTGGCTCGTTTCGACCGGCATATGTCTGGGGAAACTTGATCGTTGGTACGCCAGGCACACAGTCACATGCACCTGCCAATCCGGGCGATCAGTGCCGAACCTTTGGCAATCTGATCAAGGAAGTGCTATGCGGAGTATCTTCTGCCGTGCGGAGAAATAATGCGGAGGATATTCGAACACCCGTGTGTAGGTTTCCCGTTCCTCTCAGCTCTACCTTCTGTCTGAACGAGGCAAGAAAGAGCCTTCCGACAGACAATCATTTCAAGATCTGCCATGCAGTTCCTCCAGGAAAACAAGCAAGCGTTCTACTATGAGATTGAGGACGAAGAACAATCTCATCGAGAGACAGATCACTCGTGGCGGCCATTTGCATACATCTTATTCGCTTTACTTTGCTGCGCAACCAGCTTTTTCGCCGGCACTCGTCTTGGCCTCGCAAAGACACGACATGCTGCTTCCTCGCCAATTCCATGGAGTATATTCATGCCTTGTAGATATGATCTTCAAAACTGACAACACATAGTACCAGAAGCACTGGTCACCTTCGAGTCCAACTCCCGGTATGGAGGTCCTTCATCCCCCGAGAGCGATGAATTCTGGACTTCTCTTTCACCAGTAAGTCGATCGCCGAATCCTGGGCCTTATAGAGACTAATCATTCACAGCCGGGAGAGGGATTCGTCTTGATAGATGATCCTTCCGGCTGGGATCTCCCACCTGGCAAGACCACGGCCCAGGGAGAACTATACGACGTCGCAGTTTTCCACCAGCTTCACTGCTTGACCAAGATACGGGAGCATGCCTCCTTGCTACGTTTCGCTCTGGGAAAGAATGACACTGCTGGTTTCCATAAGATTATCAGTCCTCAAGTCGACCACATGGCACATTGTTTTGACTATCTTCGCCAGTCAATCATGTGTGCCGGTGACCTCACRTTAGAGTGGCCAAAGGAGGGCTCGAATGGCGAGCATCTCGTTGTCGATGGGTGGGGAGTCCAGCATCAGTGCAAAGATTGGGTAGGTGAAATTCTAGCAACGTGTGATWTGGAGCTGATTATCACCGCAGAATGCCATCTCAGAGTTTGTGGCAAAGAATAGCCCGACCTTGAGATAGCCAAAGGAAGCGATGTTGAGTGAGACATGGAGTGCTACTGTGGAAACCCTGCTGGGCGGGTAGCATCCTGACTTCGATCTTGATCATTTCTTCTGATTTGCAGTAGGTGCCTTCGACTGACGGTATACGGCAAGCCAGAGAAAAGCACGATTCACTTACTGGGATCTGTCTTGTATGCAAATTGTTACAGGCTACGGACAGATACGCTCTCGGAACCGATTGGAGCGAGCACCCAAGAGGACCACGGACAACTACATACTCATGCATTGCCACTCGATCTTTCCGTCGGCCTCAAGTGTACARAGATTCCCATTGCTCTCCAGCCACTCTCTGCCCTTGCGCCATCGCAAAGGAATGCGTCAGTACCGCAGGAAACTCTGGCCTTTGACCTCAAGCGACTGTATTGCAAAACTGAGGTCTACTTCATCTTTAACAAAGCCACGCCCTGCTAGGATCGTCCAATTCAAATCGAGGTTTGTCTCTCGGCTTCGAGCAGAGCCTGGAGCTCCGCCAATTTCGCCGGGATACGAGCGAGGTCGTGCTGTACAAGCTTGAGGTATTGCTGCGACACTGCAGCTTGGGTGCGGCCCTCGCCCAGTTTCGGCCAGAATCGAGCATTGTGAAGCTCAGCGATGCGCGGGTGGGATACCGTCTTGCGGTCTGGATTGTCGCGGTAGAGTTCCAGAAGACCCATGTGCTCGGGAGTGGTCCAAGGAATGGCTCTGCCGTGCTCGTGATTGCCTGAACCGGCGACGTGCTTGTTGATTTGCTTCTTACGCCTCTTCTGCACTGCACTGGAAACTTTGGAGGCGGCTGACTCCTGCTGTTTCGGCTTGCGGGCTGTGACGGTAGGTCTCTGCTCGGACTCCATCTCATCATCTGCGCCCTCTGTATCGGATCCAGCTTCTCCGACATCGTACATCCCCAGATTGACACCCCGTCCTTCCGCCTGTTTTAGCTCCGCCGCGAGCCTCCGACTGAACTCTCCGACGCCCGCATGGATGCCGTTGACAGTGAGCACCATCTCGAAAGACGAGGCAGGAGCTTGTCTGTGTAGCCCCCAAGGGGCGTTCTTGAAGAAGGCGGCAATCATCTCGGCGGTCGCTTGGCGCAAGCCTCCACCATGTTCTCCCAAGTCGGAGATGTCTTCTATCCAAGTATCCTTGTCTGTGGCGGCGGGATCTCCAAGCTTGCGCATGGTATCGATGATGAGGAGCAGAATCCACCGCATCTCCAAAGCTTGTCGTAAAGTCGGCTTGAAGCCAAGGAGCTTGGCGAGCGCGTGATAAACCGGACCCCTGAGGGTATTGTCGCGAGGGTGTTTAGTGATATGGGGCATCTACACGTGGTCAGATGTGGTCGCAAGTCGCGCACGGAAGCCAGCTAGATCCGAATACTTACGTTGGTGAGGTCCATGATGGGCTCCTCGACAGTGCGCATAGCGTTGCCGGCCATGATGGATAGATCGCCGCGATGTATGCTGTTGCAAAGATGATCTTTTGATGATATACTCGTTGAACGATGGCGATGGCGATGTTTGAGCATCCGGTAGTTCTGGTGATTTGGTGCAAGCTCTGCGTCACGAGCATGGAAGAGCATGGAATGATCTGGCGGGGAACCTTCGCGGCGAAACATCGGGGGCCTAATTCGAGTGAATGAACATGTCCACCTGCCAGTCGTACAACTCGGCAAACATTCCCCGCTATATATCCAACCCACTCATCGGGAGCTCCACATCAATGGGCCTGTGGCCYGGACAGCTAACTCTTCAGGTCGCATGATGCGTTTTCAACATCAGCGTCAGTCATTGGGACATTCTGAGATTCAAGAGATCACAACGTGGGATGCGAGAGACAAAGACCTACACATGGTGTTGATGATCGAGACAGGATCGAACGCTATCGACCTCGCTGCAACCTCCTCAATGATGAGTTTCCATCTCGAACGATCTCCGCCCTTCGGAGGATCTTTCCATCACAACTCCGTCTCAGTAGCTCTTGGAGATCCCGTCAACTCCGAAAGCGCCAGCTATCTCTCCATCAGTGGTGTCGCAGATTGAAACACGGAGAGCTGTCTGGAATAAAAGTCTTACCGTACATTTACCTTGGCTCAACTCTCATTCCATCATGCTCGCGTACACGAGCAGCGCCATTCCTGATACTGAGCTATTATAGCATCAGCAAGCTGTTGGTCGACGTTGTGTACTTCATTCTCTACCATACACCGTTCAGGGGTTAGCCAGCATATCGCTACTGCTCGCGGATTCGCCACGATGGAACATCCTGAGGCTTCTCAGCTGATGKCGTGGACCCCCCTAAAGAAGCACCAAAGGTGTATATCGATGAAGTTTTCGGTTCCCTCGCTATGCAAGCCCATCGATAAAGAGAGCTGGACAGGTGCCAAACATATGATCCAATACTCTTTCGGCTCAAAAGTAAGGATATTGTATCATTCCTACTCTTTCAAGTGCTCGAACTGAGGAACGTAGAAGAAGGCAACTCGATTGAGCAGCTGATCTCGTATGGAAGTCAAAGGGGTGTCGCTGCGAGCTGCGCATATTCATGTTTGTCATACGGCAATCGAGATCGTCGTGAAATTGATCCTGCGTATCTGAAGTGCTCCCGTAACCTCATGTTCTTTGACTGGTATTTGCCTTGAGTTCTCATTGTTTTGCAATAGTCCAAGTAAACCACGCCCACGATCTATTTGGTAGATGCAGCTACACATGAGCGTTGCAGGCACGGTCCTGCTCTGTTCCAATGCTAAACTCCAATTATTTGCTCCATCTCTCCTCCCCAGGCTAGGACCGAGCCCCGATCCTCAGGCCTGGACCGTGAGACCACGGCAAATCCGTCATTCCCACCGACACACGTGCTTCACAGGTGTCTCGTTCATATAAATATCTTCACGGTGGCAGCCCATCAGTCACGTCTTGAAACTCGAAAGAAGTGTTGATCTCTAACCCAATGGACTCAAGTGAACGCTGCTCTCGAGAAATGCTAGTTCGATTTACCCTGATCTCGACTTCCAATTCCACCCTTGATCTCTTCCCGACTAGTTCTACACTTCAACATCAATTTTTGTTTCGAATCGATTCTCAGTCAGCTTTGCGCTTACTCTCATGACCACTTGTCATTACCATACTCAAAGCCCCTAGGACGCATCACAGACTCGTCCTGACTACGATTCTTCCACGAAGAATCCTCAATTATTCGCAACGTGCAACGGTCCTGACCGCTATGCCTGTCAGTGCTCAACGAGATGACTTCTCGGGTGCTCATCAGCTTGGAGAAGAATCAGAGGCTCAGCTTCCAGACGATTTGCTCACTGATCTCTCCCTCATGCAATCTCGAGAATGCAATCCGTCAACACCTCAGCTCGTGGCAACAGCGATCGGAGAGCAAGCAGGCACTATGAACGTCGGGAGCGAAAAACTCTTCAACTTTCATGGACGCGCATCACCTCCATGGCCAAAAGCGTCGGCGGCTGACTGGGAACGCAACCCTTCGCATGCAAGTGTTTCCCGCACGGATCTACTCCGCGGCGGAATCGAGATCATACCCTAATTGATGTGGAATCGCTTACGCAAGACCTGATCAGACCGAACAAGGACGGATCGTTCAGCGACAAACACTTTTTGTCCATGCAGAAAGTGAGCAGAGCCATGCAGGAGCAAGACCGAGAAGCTTTTCACGCCGGTCTGATCCACGACGTCTCGCCCAGAACCATCGCACCTTCCCTTGGACGGCGCGTTGTCGGAATCGAGAAGATTGACCGCGACACTCAGTTCACCAGATGTATACCTTGCGAGTCGAAGATTCAGATGCCAAGCGCTCACGCAGCGATCGTGCTATCGTCCTTGCTGGAAGAGACTGAGCGATCACGCTCGAGTGTAGTTGCAAAGGAGAGGAAAATGGCCGTCCACACAGAGACAGACATCGAAAATGAGATGGGGTCCAGTGAGAGGAGATTTGACGATCAAATGATCCTCCTCGGGTGTGGAATCCTGATGCAAGCAAGCGGTGGAAGAAGCATAGTACCACGCTCTTCGGAGGGAAACCCGATGCTTGATGACACTCGTGCTGGGCCAGAAGCGAGTCGTGTAGTGGAGGTGCTTCTCCTCAAAGACGAGGAGCTGTGGACCGAGACAGTAGGTGAGTCTGGTGAAGACATCGCGCAAGATCCGCTGTTCTGGGTGCGAGCAGATCGCCTGGGCAAGTCTGCTGCAAGGTTGAAGATCATCCGCACGTCCCAGTTCAGCAGCGATAAGCACAAGCTGCGGACCCATGAGGACTCCGAGAAGGCGACTTACTCGAACGACTCAACGGCGAAGAAATCAGAAACAAGAGCAAAGAAATTCCGAAGGTGTCATTCGAGGCATTCACGGAGCCAAAGCAATCAACACGCAAGGGCGACGTGATTGGAGCAGTAGAAGCATAGGACGTTACGCAGCTATTCCCAACGAGATCAAGAGAGTGTGTGGAGGTAGGACTAGGACCAAGAGGCACTGTGGTGTGAGAGAAGGATGATGCAGAGAGAGCGAAGCAGCTACCGTCACGAGGTGCGAGACGGACTCTAGGACGGTTCGAGTGTTGAACCGCGGAAACAAAACGATCAAATCTCATCGAATCGAGGAAGCCAGGCCTGTGCTGAACGGATGATGGAGGCTTTGCCTCTACGTGCATCAACGCTTTCCATCCGTGCGAAGTGGAATACCTATTGGCGAGCATGTTTGTCGCAGCGGGATCCCTAGGCTCTGATAAGGTGACCCAGGGCCCTTCATTGTTCAATGATATTTCAAAGCTGCTCGATCACTTCTTGTCAACGGTAAAGGATATGACGCCGCGTTAAGGTGAGGTACGAGATGAGAACCCCTTTCTCAGACAGACAGTAGGTAACGATACAGATGGCCTTAGCCAATTCCAGAGATAGCGTAGATACTAGGCGATCCAGTGCTGTAGCCAATGTTGTCTTGTGAGTAAGGCGATCACCGTGGCCCGTTTTGTGGTCGTTCTAACACTTTCGTTGTAGGTCGACTTTCCGCACAATCTCAAACCCTCATGGCTATACCCGTGCTCCCTTCAACGGCTGGTGGGTAGACCAAGAATACTCTCACACTCACTTGGAAAACTCAATTTAGCATGTGAACGCCGCGCGTGCATGAGCCACTTCCTCCTCGCTTAGTCATTGCTGTGGCGAAGCCGAGATCGAATCTCCGTCTCCGGCGCTAGGCAAGAAAAACCTCACCGACAACAACCTCCCGTCAATTTTCTCCGCAACACCATCGGATCATTTGCACCAGGAAATATTCCCTCAAATCTCATACTACTGACAGCAGCCTCATCAAAATGGGAAACGGAGCCAAAGCCCAGCAGAAGCGCGAGCGCGCCGCGGACAAGACCAAAAAAGGCCCCACTTCGCAGCTGAAATCCGTGAGTCTAATCGTGCAGCATACGGCGACCTCAGTAGTCACTGACCTTTGCAGAACGCCGCTGCAAAATCCGTCAAATGCAAGGTCTGCTTCCAAGACTTTCAGAGCACCGTCAACCGCACGGCGTTGGATCAGCATGCTGAATCCCGGCACTCGAAGAAGTACGAGGACTGTTTTGCCGCATAGATTCGGGAAACGGATTGATGGAGTGACGGGTTGATGTTGATGTAAGTCTCATTACACCTGTAGCAGCATGAGAGACCGCAAATTGACCGCATCGACGTAGACACGAGCGAGAAAAGTCCACATTGATGCGGAGTCGACAGCATCGGAGTTCGGGATTGAATTACTTGATACCAATAGATTTCATGGAATGAACAGCGTGGCTTGCTGGTCCTTTGGCGAATGGGCAGAAGTCGCAGACAAAGCAAAACAGTATGCATTGCGCTACATTTCATATCTGAACCACAGCGGGTGGTATTTACAGCTCAGGCTTGCCATCTCATGCTATTCTTTCCGGGGTTCGTGCCCTGCTGATCTCTCATGCTCGTCAATCTCTGGGACAAGTCCTTCCACCGTCAGGTCAACCAGCCCAGGCCTGACAAACTTTGTCTTCCGCAGAAGTTTCCAAACACCAAATGCGATCGGGAACGCTGCCAGGAAAGTGTAATCCAGGAAGAAAGTCGTAGTGTCCCAACCTCCCGCAATGAACAGCGTGTAGCCTAGCAGGAGCAGCATCACGCCGCACCCAAACATGGCAACATATGATGTGTACGGTTGAAGCTTTCCTCGATACGGCAGCGTCCGCCTGTCGACACCCTGCAGTCGCAACGCAGCATGGAATTGCCGGTACGTCAAAGCCACGGAAAAGTAGTTGAGCAGCTGACAAGCCGTGATCARATAGACCAGCCAAATCAGAACCTGAGCGCTGGAACTCTTTACTTGCAGGAAAGCAAGGCAACAGAAGCCGAGACATGCGAGGACCGCATAGATTGGCACGCCAGACTTCATGGTCTTGGAGAACAATCGCGGTGCAGTGCCGTTAAGTGACATGCCGTACAGCGTTCGCGAAGCAGAGAAGAAGATACCGTTGCCGCAACTGAGAACCGAGGTCATGATCAAGGCGTTGACGACGTGCGGTAGTCCCGATATCTTCAGCCGATCCATTGCTATCACATACGGCGACGCAGCTCCGGTTCCACTGCCACCCACCTTCCCGCTTAGCACTGCCAAGAGAGTGGGGTCATTGTATGGGATGACAATTCCCAATGCCAGGGCAGATGCGAGGAAAAACCCCAACATCCGAAAGACGAATGACCGGTATGCTTTGGGTAAGACTGTACGTGGTGCCTCGGTTTCGCCAGCCACCATTGAAATGTACTCCGGTCCGGTGATGGAGAATGTCGCTTGAACGATGCAGGATAAGACGCCGAGGAACTTGCCGGTGGATCCGGGTACCAGGTGCTCAACGAAAGCGCCCTGCAGAAACGTCAGTGATGAACCCGGTCCAGAAGCAGGAGTCCGGACGACCTACCGGCTCCTTCCAGTACCTGAATCCGTATCGATCGTTCAAGGGGTTCCCGCCCAACATCGTGACTACGGTGAATGAAAGACACATGAAGATCAGGAACACCTTGAAGATTGACAGATAGAATTCTGCGACTCCAAAATATCGGACCGAGATCGTGTTGAGAAGACTTGAGGCAGAATTAGCGGGCTTTTGGAGAGAACGTCTTGATAGACGTACGCATAAACGACCATGATTACGACTATCACGGCCTCAACAGGGACTGCGTCCGTCCAGAAACCCAATAGAATGTTGAAAGCAACGATTTCATATGGGATGAGCAGCGCCATGTTCAAGAAGAAGTTCCACGACATCGCAAAAGCCAGCGCTTCGTCCACCCAGACTCCCGCCAACCGGATAAACGGCGAGGGGATTGGAGCGTAGCAAACCATTTCCGCTGCGCACACATCAGCGGCTGCGTCTTTTCAGCATTGGCGGCAATCCTGTACCAAAACACTCATTGACGCAAAGCATAACAGCTCCCCAAATCACGAAGCCGAGAAAGAGCCCTGCGGGTCCTCCTTTTGGCAAGGCACTTCCCATTTGAACAAAGAGTCCGGTACCGATTGCACCACCAATTGCAAAGAGTTGCACCTCCTTCGACCGTAGCCTCCGGTGAAGCTGTGGATTTGGCAGGGATGCATGGTCGAATGCACCAACTTCAACATCAGCAACATGCTTCTCGTTTCGATTGGGAGAGTGCGAGATCCAGCCCAGGTCTTTGCTATCCTGGCTGCTGGCCTTCGTTTGTGCTGCGCGACTTGCCATCGTTTTCTGCAGAGTGTTAATGGCGCACGAGAGTAGGGATCGTTTTGCTTTTTACAGCAAGATGACGGCCATTTCGCGGTAATGTGCCCATGATGGTGCTAGCATGGCATTCAACATTGCTATCGCTTGCGCTAACTTTACCGCCGGGGCCCACTTCCTGGCCTATCTTGACATTTGTGGGGTACGCCCTGCATCGGCTCTAAACATCTTGGCAGCAACCACTTCGCAGATAGAGACACCACGAATCCAGCATTTCGGGTGACAATTCGTTGGACCATGACCTTTTCGTCGCCTCTTCTCTTCGCGGGTGCATTCTTGGCCTTGGCCATATACCGCTTCATTATCCAGCCACTCTACACACATCCACTTCGCTCCGTACCTGGCCCAACTTTCTACGCACTCACCCGCTGGCGTCTCGCCTGGGAAGACCTTCAGTCCCGACGAACACGCACGATCCACGCGTTGCACCGGCAGTATGGCTCGGCAGTTCGTATTGGCCCAAACGAGGTGCATTTCAACTCACTCTCTGCCCTTAAGAAGATTTACGGACCAGGCAGCCCCTTCGGTCGGACTTCATTCTATCGAATGTTCGATGCGTACGGGGAACAGAACCTCTTCACATTCCACTCTTCGAAACAGCACGGAGAAAGAAAGAAACTCTTAGCAAATGTGTACTCGAAATCCAACATTCTGAAAGGCAGAGCTTCCGGACTTGTGTCCGAAAAAGTACAGCAGTATCTAGACTGGATCTCGTCAACTGAAGGCAAGCCGGAGGAGATCTTCAAGAGCTTACACTACTACTCCCTCGACTCAATCACAGCTTTCATCTATGGTCCGTCAGATGGCGGGACGTCCTCAATGAAGGGCAATGCGTCGCATCAAGCTCTACTGGACGATATCATCAACCCTTCTAGGAGGAGATTAACCTGGTGTGCTGTACACTTTCCCCGTCTCGTCAAATGGCTCTACACACGCACTGGACTGACTGCAAGGCTCGTGACGCCGTTTCTTCCCATGCAAAAGCCGACCACGTATACCGGCATCCGAGCTCATGCGCTCGCCGCTTCACAAGGTGCCAAGGGAACCAAGTTCGAAAAGTCGGCCGGAGACGAGGAACAAACAATCCTGGGTCGTCTTTACCATCTTCAGTCGCTGGCCTCTCAATCGAAAGCACTTACAGACCTCCAAATTGCGTCGGAGTGCGCTGACCACTTTCTCGCCGGGATTGACACAACAAGCGATACACTGATGTTCATGCTTTGGGCGCTGTCTCGACCACAGAACTCCGCTTTCCAGCAAAAGCTCATGGAAGAATCACTTACTATTCCAGCCGAGGACCTTGATGTCCACGGGAATCCCACGGTGGAAGCGGCAGACAAGCTCCCATACCTTAATGCCGTGATCAACGAGACACTCCGACTGTATGCCCCTCTTCCGGGATCTGAGGCGAGGAGTGCGGACATGGATGTCGTGGTTGATGGATATCTTATCCCTGCTGGATCGATTGTCAACATGGCACCTTACAGCTTGCACCGGAATGCGGCGGTGTTCGAGGATCCTCTGAGTTGGAATCCGGATCGCTGGCTGGTAAAAGATGCGGAGAAATTGGCTGAGATGAAGAGGTGGTTCTGGCCATTTTCGAGTGGAGGTAGGATGTGTATCGGGATGCAGTGAGTCGAAATTGAGCGTTCAAATTCGCTTGAGCTGGATGGCTGACTGGTTCGATAGCCTCGCGACGGCGGAGATGGCGGTTGTGCCGGCCATCTATCGCAAGTACAGCACGTCGATCGCACCCGGTTTCGAAGCCAAATCTCCTGGCATCGTTAGCAGAGTGGAGGTCTTTGGAGATGAATCTTTCGACGAGACAGAGGTAAGTGTTTCTCGTGCGGGTTATGACGAGACAGCTAATCTCGCGAAAGGAACACACTTGCTGGATTAACTTCGTACCTACGTGAAGAAAGGTCAGACATAGGGCTGCTTACTCGGCTACGGCGGGAGATCGCTAGTAGAAGAGATAAAGAGGACCGAAYGTAGAGGAGATCCCTCGTTTCCCTTTACTAGGTAAAATTACGAATTTAGAAGCGATCGCTTATAATAATCGGCGAACGACGTAAATACTAGAGTTCGTAGAGATGTTTTATAAGTTCGATATAGGAGGAAAAATGTCCGAAAGAATTTTCTTCGCGTAGTACTTAAGAATTTTTCTTCGCGTAGTATCTAAGGGTATTCTTCGCGTAGAATCTAAGGATATTCTTCGCGCGGTATCTAATAATATCCTTTATAGTACCTAGCTAATACAATTTATAGCTAATAGTATCTAAAGAAGATTACTTTATAAGATATATAAAAGATATTATAGTATAAAGGGCGAAGCCCTAAGTCGAGAGTATAGGCGTAGCCTATATAAAACGCTTAGTATTCGCGTACTTTATATTAGAATTAGTAAGAGAGTAGTTTCCTTCCCTATTAAATTTATTTAATTAAAACCTTATTTAAGCTTCTATATATACGCTACTCGCTTATAATATTAAGTTCGATTACTTTACGATAACTACCTCTTTAAATCCGGATTCTAGAAGAAATTTTCTAGATATTAAGAATTTAGAATAGAAGGTACTTATAGAACCTATTATAGAGCTACGTAGAGCTATAAAGTAGATATACTTTAAGTAATAGGTAAAAGAAGCCGAGATAAATACTACGCGCGCTACGCTAGAATAAGCGGGATCTAAGTATATAGCTAATAATAATATCCTTATAAGTATAATAATAAAGAACCTTAAAAGTCGGTCTTAGTACTAACTTAAGTAGGCTCTATATATAAATCGTTAGAACTAAAGAGCTAGTATTAGGGAACCTATACCGCCGGTTTATAGACTTAAGGGCTCGGCTAAGACGCTAAGCCTATATAGGCCCGAATTAGGCTAGAAGGCCTTATATAAAGCCCTATCTCGAGAGCCCTCCGCTCTCTAAGTAATATTAACTCCGTAAACTTACTATTTAGTATATATATCTATCCCTATCTATAACTCCCTTATAGTATATTACTTTATAACTATTACGGTTCGACCCGTAGGGAACTACAGCTACTTATTTAGGCGAAGAAGGATTAGAGTAATTAGGATAATTAGAGTAATTAGGACGATTAGAGTAAGTAGAGTAATTAAGGTAAGTAGAGTAAGCAGGGGCGATTAGCTTGCTCGGACTACTTAGGCTTAGCACGAGCTTAAGGACAGGTATATAGCGGATAGTAGTCTATAGTAGATAGGAGCCTCGTGCTCAACTTAATTAATTGTATTTATCTATACTGTTAAACCCTTTACCTTTACTTCGAAAGAATAGATAGTACCTTAGAACATACCCTACGTTATAAAAACGAAGTAAGGATTTAACAACTTTAAGCACCACCTAAGGGCCTACTATATATATCTATAGGAGATTAAACCCGGAGCCCTATACGTTAACTACAATTAATAGGGATTACGGAACGACTTAGCGTAATGTCGATTATAATAGGAAGCGGAAAACGAATAACAACCCTAGTAAGCTCGACGAGTATACCGGAGGTAACTAGGGGACTAAAGGTGTCGACGCCGGAGACGTTCGACGGTATACTAGGAAAACTAGAGGCCTTTTAGCTATAGGTCTAGCTATACCTCTACTTTAACACCTACTAGTTTAATAGCAAGGCTAGTAAGGTCTTATACGCCGCATCCTTCCTAAGAGGAARAGCCGCTCGAGGATTTAGACCCTATCTTAAGGACTAGCTTAACAACTAGGACGAGGATAAAACACCTAAGACGGAAACTAGAAAAATCTTCTACGACTACGAGGAGTTTAAGACAAAACTTAATAATCTATACGGGATACTAAATAAGGAAGTGTACGCCGATCGCTACATCCGCTAACTCCGACAAACTACCTCTATATCGCTATACGCCTTAGAGTTCTAAGRATATACGGCCGATCTCGAATAGAACGATGTAGCTCTTCGTTCCTAGTTCTACCTCGGACTTAAGGACATAGTTAAATTAGAACTATCCCGAAACTCTAGCCTAACTACGCTTAGAGYAATAATTAAGTTAGTAAAGGAAATCGACGAGAGACTCTAGGAGCTACGGYACGACCGATTCGTRTAGCCTAGATTTTAGAGACCCGTAAGAGGCGGAAGAGGGAACTTTAAGGCTAGAAGCGACGATCCCTATAGACTAAGACCGATAGAGCTCGATATAATAGAGCGAGGTAGTCGACATAAGAAGGCGGGATAGAACCCTACTTGTTATACATATAGTAACTAAGGACATATTACTAGTAACTATAAAGACAGGAATAAAGTTAGACGCGAGGAATTTAGGTTTATGTCGCGTAAGGAAACATACTAGGAATACGAGAGTTTCTTCTCGAAATCCACCTAGATAGATCTTAGCGAACGAAAATCAGCGAACCGCGGTCTCTTAGTTCGTTAGTCTAAAAAGAAAAGAGATTAGCACGGAAAGAAAATAACGAAGGAAAAGAACGTACGAAGGGGATTCTTAGACGGACGGAGGTTCGAAGGACTAATCGAAGACTTCGGGGAAGTCTATCCCGCGAAGCGAACTATTAATAGCGACACTCTCGGACAGGCCTTCGTTTAGGGCAGCGTTAGATTTAGACTCTACTAAGTAGCGAATATCTTCGTCTAGCTTATTATTGTTCGCTTAACGAACCGTCTTATTTCGAGTAATACGACGACGGAGTTCTTAGATCCTTTCTAGGAGTGCACCTATCTTATCTATAGTCCCGGCGAGCTCCTACTCGTCGGATGCGATCTTAGCCGAGATCTTATCGACTACGGCGTCTAGGCGATCGATGCTCGAGGTAACGTAAGGACGGCCGAGTCGAGTATACTCGCTATAAGCTATAATAGAGAAATCGGACACGAAGATATAAGAGCGACTACGGGAGTAATAATAGTCGTAAGGCGTCGGGGGGAAATAAGGGTTTTCGAGTATTCTAGCGATACGGCGACGACGTGTTTTAGAAGTAAAGGAAGCTATCTTACTAAGAGAAGATAACGGTAGAGGTCCCGACCTATATAAGCTTCGGGGCGAAGCTAGACTAGAAGGGGGATAGTATTACGGTTCGACCCGTAGGGAACTATAGCTACTTATTTAGGCGAAGAAGGATTAGAGTAATTAGGATAATTAGAGTAATTAGGACGATTAGAGTAAGCAGAGTAATTAAGGTAAGTAGAGTAAGTAGGGGCGATTAGCTTGCTCGGACTACTTAGGCTTAGTACGAGCTTAAGGACAGGTATATAGCGGATAGTAGTCTATAGTAGATAGGAGCCTCGTGCTACCTATAATCCACTATTAGGATTAGGTCAATCCTAATAGCGGCCTTATATAAACAAAGTTAGGGTTGCGACCCTAAAGGGGTCAATCCTAATAGGTTAATCCTAATAGGTTCCCTTTATCGTATATTTCTAACGTTTGGACAGCTTCGAGTATATCGYAGAATTATAAATCCGCGAAGTATCTAAGTCTATCCGAGCGCTACCTCGTCGTCGGCGACGGATTATAGAAGCGGTAGGAAGAAAGTAATATTCCGCGTAAGGACTAGCTAAGTAGGGCACGCGACGTCTACCTAAGGGCCGGGCGTACGACGTCTATTTAGATTAGATAGTAGACCCGAGGCGATACGTAACGAGTCGAGTCGTATAGGGGGCAAGGTTTAGACAGGGAGTACGATTAAGTACGCGCGAGATTCGTAATAGCTAGGCGCGTACATACAATTTAAAAGAAGAGATGGAATACTACGAGCATATTAGTACGATAGCGACAGCGTAATAGAAGCATTCGACAAAATATTCGTTTACTATACCGAGTATCGGATTATAGTTTATAAGCGATGTAGATATGCCGTTAATCTAGCCTAGATTTAGGGCTACATCGTCGCTAACTATAAGACCGTTACTAAGCAGTAGCGCTAGCAGATTATCGAGTTTGTCGCCGGATTATCCGCTATTACCCGTATACCGGAGGAGGTAAGATATCCCGATACGAGCAGTACGGCTATAGTTAGATTACTAGTATATAACAACGGGTTGAGGTGTATTATATAGGTTAGCAACGAAGAGTATAGCCGGGTATATTATAAGAGAAGCGGCATATAAAAGCATTGCCGTACATAGCATAGTTAGGAGAACCCGCGTACTAGAGGTAGCTATCGACGTAAAGGAATCCCCGAAGAGACAGGCTAGTTATAGGTTGTAAATCAACTATACTAGCAATTTTTTAAGAGCGGCATTTAGAAGAGGCATTTCGCTATTTAGGTCGTGCCACTATCCGGACAGGATTCCGTCGTTAATAATGCTATTATAAAGGCCGATATATAGGTAGAGGGAATATTAAAAGAATTTTAGGACGCTAAAATGTAGGAGTAGAACGAACGTAGCCGGTACGAGCCCAATCTATAGTTAGAACATACCGGATAGGAGAAGCACATTAGCTAGTTTAAGGTATAGGTAGTAAAGCAGGTATAGGAAGATGTTAGGTTAGATTTAGACCTAAGCGGCGATAGGTTAGATTTAGACCTAAGCGGCGATAGGTTGGATTTAGACCTAAACGACGCCGAGGAGACTAGTTTAGGGAAGGAAGGAGAGGATAGCGAGGAAGGTTTAAGAAGAGCATACACTAGCACCGTATTATTAATTCGGCGATCGTTTAATACTAGCCGCGCCGAGATCGTAGGCCGGTATACGTTATAATACGTCTATCGGCGGGAGAATAGTATACTAGATAGYAACCGGCCGTTTTACGGAAAGTAGAAGGTATAGACGATTCGGAAGTATACCGCCGTGTTCGTAAAGATTTTGCGGTACATTTAGCGCACCGAACCTAAGACCGTCCGGCTAGCATATCGATTAACACCCTAGTAAACGTAGGCGTTAAAGAAGTTACGATATGCCGCCCGT